GGCAATGAAATATGAAGATTTAGCTTTTCCTCACCCTGCCCCTCAACAGGAACGCTCTCCAGTGCCCCCTCCCCCACCTGCCGCGTCCTCCCACTGTTGTTGGATCAACTTTCGGTGGAATCCATGTTGTCTCCCCAACCCCAGCCCCTTCCTACCAGACTCCCGGTAAACACCATCCTGATCTCTTTGTTCGTCATTGTCCTGCCTCACTGCTGATTGTATATTTGTTTGAGCAGTCTTCCAATTTATAAAAAGTTATTGTTTTAAGTAATCCATGGCTGAGTTTCATTCAAGCTGTGGCAAGTGTAGATCATTCATTTTGTGTAATATTCCATTCTGACTTCACTGCAGTTCATTTATCCACTCTCCTGCCAGGGGGTCTGGGGGTCGTACTCAGGTTTTTCCTGGGGGGAGTGCTGTGAGGATCCTTCTTGCACCTCTCCCCTGGTGTACATGTACAGGGGGTCTCTTGCATATATACTGAGGAGTGAAATTTCCGGGTCATACTTTGAAACTACAAGTTTACAAATAAGGCCATACTGGTTTTCAACAAACAAATTAACTTCTATATGAAAGCAAAGAATGAGAACAATTAAAGTTAAGGTTGAATGTATGTAAATGCTATTTATGGCATCATTTATGCTGCTCTCTCATCATCTGACACCTGCTTGTCCCCTACCTCACTAAATTCTACACATCCAGTTTCAGTTTTTCAATTCACTTCCCCCTTTAGCCTCCTCTTTTTCACCCTGGCCATCTTGGTGGCTGCTCTTGGTTGGGGACCGTCCCATACTTACATCAGGAAGATGGTGGCTACAAAAAAGGAAAAAGTCCCTGGAGTCGATCAACTCCAGGCTCCACCTCGCTGTGAGAAGTAGGTGCTGGGGCACACACAGACCCTGAACCTCAGTTCAGGCGAGGCGATGGTCAGACGAGGCAAAGCGAAACTGGCCGCCCTCGCCACCACTGTCCCCCCGTGAGTGAATCTGGAGTAGAGTGCTCTGTCACAGTGGCCAGACTGGGGTCCACCACCCTGGCTGATATCATTAGAAACGTGCTGGAACAGAGCAGGGTGAAAAGTAAATCATGCAAAACTGTTCTGTAATGAAACTGGCCAGAGCTTGGTTTAAAAAAAAAAATGTATAAGCTATACCAGTCCATCATTTCATTGCTTCTACAGTACTTTGCAATTATTCTTTTTTTTTTCTTTTTTCTTTTTTTTTTTTTAATATTTATTTTTAGAGAGGGAAGGGAGGGAGAGAGAGAGAGAGAGAGAGAGAGAGAGACATGAATGTGTGGTTGCTGGGGGTTCTGGCCTGCAATCCAGGAATGTACCCTGGCTGGGAATCGAACCTGGGACACTTTGGTTCCCAGCCCGCGCTCAATCCACTGAGCTACGCCAGCCAGGGCGATGCAATTATTCTTTAGGCCACAATTCCCTGTATCTTTATCCTAACATACACTTGTAATTTTTAAACCTTGAATGACTTGTCTCAGCTCCACCACATTAATAGCTACTCTCCAGCCCTGGCTGGTGTGGCTCAGTGGATTGAGTGCTGGCCTGCGAACTGAAGGGTCGCTGGTTGGATTCCCAGTCAGGGCACATGCCTGGGTTGTGGGCCAGGTCCCCAGGAGCAGGGCTCTTGAGAGGCAACCACACATTGATGTTTCTCTCTCTCTTTTTCCTTCCCTTCCTCTCTCTCTAAAAATCAATGAAATCTTTTAAGAAATAACTACTCTTCAGTCAAAACTGGTGAAGAAGTGTTTAACTATATGCTTATGGGAGAAATTAGAAATAGATGGACATGTCTAATTATTTAACCATGCACAGCAGGAGAGACCTGTGCTTGTTGAGAGGGCAGTAAGACCTCCCTGAAATTTTTGTTACGCTTACAGTTACGTCTTAGCTATCATGCATAAAATCCAACTGGGAAGCCCACGAACAATTAGAGATCACTGAGAACCCAGGTGTTTCTTTCCCTTAGGGCCCTCATTCACATACATAGGCTAAGAATTTTCTGTCTGGTTGTGTTCCACACTCTGGTTGGTAAGAAGGTGGAAGGTGAATTTCTGGTCCAACTTCAGTAATTCTGGTATGAACGTTTATGTGTGAACTTTACTCTTAGCATCCCTTACTCTTAAAAGCATTTTGACTGTTAGTATTTTAGAAAATTATCTCACATGTCTTCTGGAACACAGTGGGATGTAAGTAGCTCACCCAAAAAATACATGAGTACAGGAATGAATACACAAAAAATATGATCAATCAGCTTAGATAAATGCATCCACAGTTTGTGCTACGCGTGCTCAAACTGGGCCCGTTGTCCTCACCTGAGGTTCACCCAGCAGGTACTTAGTCCCTGTATCTGAGGGTTGTAAACTATTGCCCTGTGAAGGGCAGCCTAGGTGGCGTCTGCTTCCTTCCCTCCCCTTTGCCCTGCCCAACGGGGCAGTGCCTAGTTGTGTTAGGCATTTAGATTTTATTTAAAGAAGGGGTTTTATTGCAAAAAAGTGCACACAGCAGCTGATGTAATTCATCCAGCGTTTTAGTGTGCTGTCTTATATTCTTCTCATATTCCAGTGGTCCAGAGTTAGGGTGGGATACAGGCCCATCACCAGGTTTCTAGCTCTGCTCTCTGAGAGCATCCCTAAACGGGCCGAATATGGTTTGCACATAATCCTAAAATATGTATAAGCCTTAGAAGTGTTTTGTAATATGAAGAAGAGAAAGAGGACTATTCATCTAAGTCAGATTGAGACCTAAGTTTAGGAACTAGTAACTAATTCATTTTCGCCATCAGAAAGTAGATGAAACTAATATGATATGCCACTCACCTGCTTGCACCTTTTGCAATGTGTCAAGCCATAGAAGAGGAAAGCAGTCTTTTGGTTTCTATGCACTTGGATGGACAGCACATGTGTTGTCCACACGGCAGAAGCCTGGGCATCTTGCTGGCTGTCCAGTTTCAGGATCCATTCTGACTGCTTCTCCCAAATGAGGCAGGAGGGGCCCCATTTACACAGACACAATCACCCCCACTGCCTTCTCTTACCTTTCGAGACTTTGTTCCTACTGACGACAACCACCACCTCTTACTGTTTACTTGTGTAGACTTCTGTTAAACTGAGCTGCTTTTTAAAAAAATGAAACAGGGTGGGATTGGTTAATAGAATGATACAGGTTTCAAGCGTACACTTCTATGACACATCGTCTGTACCCTGCACTGTGTGCCCACAGACTGAGCACCTGCAGGGTCAGGACTGGGCGTCACCTTTGCTTCCCAAGCACCTAGCACTGGTGTACGCCCAGAGCGTGATCAAACGGCAATTAGATGGGGACCAGAATACACGAGGTCAGGTCTCACAAGTCCCCTGCGCTACCACTTATTATGTGCTTCACTGTTCAGTCAACAGGTGTCTGGGGAATTTCTCCGTGTGAGGTGCTGGAGTGTGCCCTGGTCATACAGTTTCTGAGGTGGGGCTGTGACTCAGCAAAGAGCCAAACCTCCTATGCTTTAGCAGGAACCGAGAGCCTTAATGGACAGGGATTCTTAGGGAATTTCTACTTCCCTCTCTTATAAAGAGTAATTTGTGGAGCCCCAAACTTTGTTGACTTTTCTCCCCTTCACTCTGGGGTCAGGAAAGAAAGCGAAGGGGGCACATGACATTCCCAGGGCTCACACTCACCACACCCACAGAATATAAGAACCAGATAATAAACTTTAATTTGAATATATTACAGTAGAATAGTTATTCTGAAGTACAAAAAGAACCATAAGAGTTTTATCTCATTTGCAAGTGGTACTTGCTACAGACTGTAAATAGTACGTTGATGACATGAACTGTACACACTACGTACCTTCCCAGAGCTGGACCTTCCTGTCCTGGGACCATCGCAAGAGGAAAAGCAGCTGTGTAAACTACTCCGCAATCTTGAGACCCTGCCAAGACGTCTCCGAAGTGGCTATTCTGAATGGCAGAGCTTAGACGGTATCTTTTCTAAAACAGTCTTTAGGGTGCTCTTTTTTTGGGGGGTGGGGGGGTTCAATTCTATAGATTAAAACTTTTTTAAAAAATTAGTCTAAAATTCTGGGAAATGCTATTTTTGGAATATCAGATTTTTTCCAAAAGACAGGAAAATGTAGGGAGTGCTAAATTCAACAAAAGCTCACTTAAATCACCATCAGTGGAAAAGTTTTTCAAGTACAGGAAATTTTAAAATAATAGCAATTAACTAGAAAACAAATTTCATTGCCAACAGCCACCGAGGAGTTCCATCTGTCTTTCCCCCTCATTGTGTTTCCTAACATTTTAAGTGAGGTAAATAAGAATCACAAGAAGGATTCTAGCAATTGTAGCAGGTTCTGCCCAGCTCTGACCCACCTAGTACTTTAGATGCTGAGAACCAATTATTGAAAAAGTAGGAACATATTGAGGAAACAGAAAAGCTTTGGCATGTGAAAAAGGATGTAACATTGTTTTCTAAAATTCAGTCATTCCGGTCAGTTTATTTTGATTTGTGCCTTGAACTGACTAGACCTGCGTCTAACATAAAAGACAAGAAAACTGAACATCTTCCTGAGTAGAGTTGAAAGAGCCTCTTGCAACTAGCCAGAAGGAGAAGGCTATCTGACGTCTGTGGTCCTCTGCCCTCGGCTGCCTTTGACCCCTGCCATGTCCCCATCTCCGTTCTACGCACCTCCTGCATCCAGAGGAACGGCTCTGCACATTCCACACCTGCAATACGGGGTGCCTTAAACTCATAGTGAAGAAATATGGTGTAGAAACAATGGTAATCTGGTACATAATAACACACAGGTTTATTTTCTGAAAATAGCTCATGAGCCCAAGAATGCTCAGTCCTGTAATAGGTTTATGTTGTGAAAGCTCAGAAATCTGGGGCTGGAATATGACTTAGGCTGGAGCGCAGCCATTAGGAAACCCCTCAAAGGGCTCCACAAACCCATGTTCTGTATCATTACGTCAATAAACGGCCGTAATGCCTACACAGAGCCTTTGTAGCCCTGTTTTCAAAATTGATGTTTATTCAGCAAGGTACATGGAGAAAAACACCTAACCTGTTTTGTTATCTAAAATATAATGGAGAAATGACAAATGAGATTTGTATACTTTGTTTCCTAAAAAGTCTTAAATGTGCCACACAAATTTTTTTCATAGTTCTCACCTTTTAAAAAAATGCAGTATTCCTGTTACTCCACTGTAACATGTTGTCATCAAGAATTCAATTATTGAAGGATTAACCCCTAAGCCTATTATCTATTAGTGACCCGACAGTTTGATAAAGGCTCTTACTGCCATTCTTAGAATCATATAGCTATTTATAACTCCTGTTCTCCCAAGATTCAGAGGTGCATTACAAAACTCTTTGCTCGACCCCTCGGTAGAAAGGGAATGTGCAGAGACGGCTAACGATAAGATGCCGGAATGATGATACCTCTTGAGCATTAATGGCATTTGTTATTGCAGCATGGAGAAAATGCCATGGAATGTTAATATAAAAAAAAGTTATGCTGTTCTCCTTAAAGTCTATAAATGACACCATAGTACTGAGTCTTTTTAGAAGAAAAGCACCAGAGAAGTCCCAAGTCTCGTGGCTGGTCGGATCCCACAGGGGCCATGGCAGAGACGATGGCACAGTCCCACCAAGAGGCAAGGTGTCAGCACTCACGGGGCTTGTGGCTGGAAGAGCAAGGAAGGGAAACATCACCCAAATAGAGGCCTGCATCTCACGTCGAACCGGGGAAGCTGTGTCCAGTCTGAGGTCGAAGCCGTGGCTGGCCCCCGGCGTCCAAGCACGCTCAGACAGGCACCCTGTTTTCCTTGGCCCACTTCTTCATGATGCGGATGATGTACTCCACCTGGGTGTTGCCCGTGCTTCTCAGCAGGTGGAGCACTTCTCGAAGGGTCTCTCTGAGGAAGAGATTTGAAAGGACAAGGTGCTTCAACAGAACGAAAATGAACAGGTAAAATAAACCCCTAACTGTGCTCCATACAGTTCTAGCAGGGCCTTTTGGTAACAGGCTCTCTTCCGGTGCACGCACAAACCGGTTGCAGACTTCCCAGCTTTCTCTCCACAGTGGCCTGGTAAAATGAAAATTCTGTGATGGCCTTCTTGCCAACCCAAGTTCTCCTCCTTTACTTATACTACCTACACATGTTATTAATCACTTTGTCGTAACAGACATAAATATTTCCAATTCTGCGCTTATTCTGCCTGACAGAGTAGAGAGGGTTATGTCAACAAGCTGGGTTCAGACTTGGGTTCAAATTCCAACTCGGAACTAACAAGTCACGTAACTTGTCTGAGTCCCACATATCTCCTTTGTTGAAGGAGAAATACACTGGGCATCACTGCCATATTTGTGAAACTTTACAAAGCTAGAGAAATGGGAGAGTTCTTCAAGAAAAATAATATACTAATAAATATGGAAAAGAGGAAAGTTAAGAACCAAGATTTGGCAAATGCCCAGTATTCATGTTTTAAGTAACCTAAATTTAATTACAATTAAAATTTATGTTTTAAGTAAGGCATACTAAAACTTCCCTATTACTTTATTCAACCTACAGGTAACTGTGTATTTATCCTTTTCCACAAGAGTTCTCTCATATTTCCAACATTTTTCCCATCAAGCAACCTCTTTTACTTAACCAAATTCTTTTAAAATTTTACTTAGGACTAGAAGTAGGTATAAGGCAGGAAGTAATTTTTGATAGATTATTTGCTTATAAAATAATCACACCCCCATCCATACATTAGTAACAAATACATTCCATGAAGTTATTTTTAACAAACTGAATTTAGCTTTAAGCATTTCAGCTTTTGTTGCCATGGAGCTACAACCCACTTAATTTTATGTAATCTAATGTCTCAGTAATGAAAATTATCAACCACATCTACTCCATTCCCCATTCTTTGAGGCCTAAACTAAAAGACAAAAGGAAAAGCCAAAGGCAAAGGAAAAAGTAAATGAGATTGAAAGAAAAAAGCTTTGTTTATGAAAAGACAATTCATTTGGAGCTCTTGTATTTGAGAGCTGTGGTATACTCTACGCTCCTGGTATAGAGGATTTAGAATGATCCTGATTCTATAAAATAAAAAATTTCTGGAGGAAAAAGGTCAAATGGAAATATATAACATCCTAACGTTTGATTCATCATTCTAAAACATCTTATAATTTTGAGCTTTCAGAAGAGGATGTCAGTCACCCAGGAAAACCCTTCTTTTCCCTTCCAAACCAGCCAATGAGTAGAGGCAGCCTTCCTCTCCCGGGCACTTACTTGGGCTCTCTCCCAGCCAAGATCATCTGGAAAATGCCCACACAGGCACCTCTCTTGCCTTCCCAGTACTCAGGGTTAGGATCCAGCCTCTCGAGGACATCAAAGGCTTTGGCTGAGTAGTAGAACTGGCCCATCTGGATAAAACAAAGAACGGTGGTAGTGCTCATGGTCACAAGATTACACAGGTGACACCGAACATACGGAAGCCATGCAACAGAACTGCGTAAAATGAGTACACGGATGATGACAGCATTTTCAGTCAGCCAATTAGATAAATTACTTATCAAAACAAGAAAAAGGAATATCACAGTTTGGTACTTGTGTTCAATTTAAATCAGCTTACCTTCATTCAGTTTTCAACAATGTAACATGTTTTCTACATACCATCAAGTTATTCTATAATCAATACATGCAAATGTCACTTCTTCTAATTATAGTCTAATCTTGAATGTAAACTCTGGTGACTGTGATTTGAACTGTTTTTCTCCTTCTCAATACAGTCTGTAGAGGATTACTATCATTCATTTCATGGCAGTTTGATCATATTCAGTCCAAGAGAATGATCTTTCCCTACCCTGTCTAAACTCTCATAAACCTACATGTATGCGCACCATGCATAACATCTTTAAAACATTTAATTCATTTTAACAGATAACACTACAAATTCCCTTGGCCTTTAGATCATGCTGAATACCACTACATGTTGCTCAGATGAGTTTTCCTGACTGGCAATCATCAACGTACAGTGTTACCGATTTCACTGAAGGCTTCAGATTGCTGAGCAATCCCCCCCCTCGCTGCAGTTTAGTAACTTCTCCATTCCTATAAACTGTTGTCACATGCATTTAAGAATTTCCTTAAGATCTCTATTGCATTTCCAGCACACCTTTTTTCTCTATTTCATAGGGAAAACACAACTTTGCTCCCTTCAGTTCAAATCCTACCCTCATTCACCCTTCCCTCTTTTTGGCCTATCGCACAAGAAGCAGTGTTCATGCCCCTATTCGAGGTTAATCCTTTTTCCTATGTTCTCAGCAGCATTTGGGGAGGGGGGGGGTTGTGAAATAACACATATAGAGAATGGTGCGTGCAATGTCACTGCGAGGTTTAATGTCTGATTCTAAAGAGAATACACGTGCAACCCCCACCCAGGTCAGGACAGGAAACACAGCAGAACAGAAGCCCGGCGGCACCTCCAGGCCACAACCCGCTACTGCCCTCCAGAAATAACGACTACTCCGACTCCCATGGCCATCAGTTCTTTGACTTGCTTTATAATCACCTATGTATATAGCTTTAGACAATTTGAGTTTTGCCTCTCAGAATTTTATCTATATGAAATAATACTGTAAATATTCTTTTGTGTCTTATATTTATTTAAAAGATTCATCTAGCCCTGGCTGGCGTAGCTCAGTGGATTGAGCGCGGGCTGCGAACCAGGCATCGCAGGTTCGATTCCCAGTCAGGGCACATGCCCAATGCCCAGTTTGCAGGCCATGGCCCCCAGCAACTGCACATTGATGTTTCTCTCTCTCTCTCTCTCTCTCTCTCTCTCTCCCTTCCCTCTCTAAAAATAAATAAATAAAATCTTTTAAAAAAAGATTCATCTGTATTGCTGGATATAGCTCTAGTTGGTTTAATGTTTAAAAACTTTTAGCTTTGGCCCTGGCTGCTGTAGCTCAGTGGATTGAGTACCAAAAGGTCGCCAGTTCATTCCTAGTCAGAGCACATGCCTGGGTTGCAGGCCAGGTTCACCAGTTGGGGGTGTTCAAGAGTCAACCAACCAATATATCTCTCACATGTTGATCTTTCCCTCTCTTTCTCCCTCCCTTCCCCTCTCTCTAAGAAGTAAATAAATAAAACCTTTTTTTTTTAAGATTTTATTTATTTACTTTTAGGGAGAGAAGGCAGGGAGATAGAGAGAGAGAAACATCAATGTGCAGTTGCTGGGGGTTATGGCCTGCAACCCAGGAATGTGCCCTGGCTGGGAATCGAACCTGGGACACTTTGGTTCCCAGCCCGTGCTCTGTCCACTGAGCTACACCAGCCAGGGCTGTAAAACCTTTTTTTTAAAGAAAAACCCTTTTAACTTTTAATTATAGATTTACAGGAAGTTACAAAGATAGTACAGGGAGGTCTCATGTACCTTTCACCCCATTCCCCTCCCCCTTACAGTTTACGTAACAACAGTACAACCTCACAACCTCAGACCCAGGAAATGCACATTGCTACAATTCTGTCATTTTCACAAATGCGTAGATTCATATACGCAAGTGTTCCACCACCACAAAAATCTCCCTTGTGCTACCCCTCTGTAGTCACACGCATTCCCCTCCTTGCTTACCATCTTCTCCCCTAGCTATCACTAATTTGTTCTGTATTTCTATAATTTTGAAGAATACTATATAAGTAAAACAGCAGTGTGGGGCCCTTTGAGATTGGCTTTTTTCATCCAGCATAATGTCCTTGTTTTTCCAAGGGACAGCATGTATCACTAGTTTGTTCCTATCACATAACGTGCAAAAGCAGGAGGGACCTCCACGCACAGTCTGGTGTGGATGTCGAGCACGATGATGCCACATCACACCAAAAGCGGATGCAAGGTGTTCTGCTCATGCCATTGAGGTCTCTGAGGACAGTCTGGCAGGTCTGGCAGGCAGGTGCACAATGGCCCGGGAGAGCAGGCATTTGCAAACAGGCATTTACTGGATGACAGTTTTCATTTCCTGGGGTTAAAAAAACACTGCCTGGCTATAGTATGATATATTTTTTTCCACGCTTTAATTTTCAACCCACCCATATTATAATATTTGCAGTGAGTTCCTTGTAGAGAGCTGGGTCATCTTTTTAAAAATCTACTCTGTGGAATCAGTCTTTTAATTGTTGTAGTTAGACCATTTACATTTAATGCAATTATCAATGTGTTAGGACTCAGTTCTGCCTTTTCTTTCCTGTTTGTCCTTTCGTTTTCATGGACAAGGACGTCTCGTACATGTCTCTGCAGTTTGCAGCTGGAGAGAGACTGTTGCGTCTGCACAGAGAGAGGACAAGAAGGCCCGTGCCCCACCTTCCCAGTCTTCGCCTCTGCGCGTCCTTCTCTTGCTGTCCCTGAACTGTAATACGTCTCAGCTGTAAGTATAACTTCATGTTGAGTTGTGTGAGTCCTTTCAATGAATCTCAGAACTAGTGGGTAGGTGTGGGACCACTGAGGCCCTAGGTAATGCCAAAATGTTGTTTTTTTTTTTTTTAGATTTTAAGCAGTGTGGTGATTGCTGGGGGGAGGGGGGTAGTAGGGGACTAAATGGTAATGGGGAAAAAATAAAGATTAAATCTAAAAAAAAAGTACAGATTTTAATTATTTATTTTCAGAGAGAGGGGAAGGGAGGGAGAGGAGAGAAACATTGATCAGCTGCTTCTTGCGTGCACCCAAAGGGAGACCTGGCCTGCAACCCAGGCATGTGCCCTGACCAGCAATCAAACCGTGTCAACCTTTCGATTGGCAGGATAACACCGAACCCACTGAGCCACCCCAGTCAGGGCCCAGATTGTTTTTCAAAGTCATTACCTTCCTTTGATCTTAACCCTATCCCCCTTTCATCTTTCTTATTCCATCAAAAATGCTCCCACTCTTGGCCCTGACTGGGTAGCTCAATAGGGTAGAGCATCATCCCTATGTACCAAGATTGTGGGCACATACAAGAATCAACCAATGAAAGCATAAATAAGTGGAACAATGAATTGGTGTTTCTCTCTCTTCCCCTTTCTCTCTCTAAAATAAATTTAAAAGTTTTTTTAAGTTAAAAAAATGCTCCCTCTCTTTCTTGAATTCTTAATCTCCCCATTCAATGGCTCTTCTACCTAAGATATACTCTCACTCCTTACTCTAAAACAAAAATAACACTCTATCCACCAGCAAAAATTAATCTCTCCCCCCAAATCCTTAAGCCTGTTTCCCCTTTTCGGTCAGCATCACGTTTTTCTCCTTATCCTCAGCATCAATTTTTTAAAGACTGGTCGACAGTACACTCACTGCATCTCCTGTCTAGTCTGATTCTCTTCTCCGCCTCCTACTGTTTTCTCAGGCTTCATGTACCTCCACCTGCATGCAGATTTGGCATTCTCCTTCCTTGGCTTTTGATAAAACAGCATCGGAAAAAATAAGTAATGCAAAGCACTTTTCCTATCTCCTGGTTTTTTCTTTTCTTTCTATTTATCTGCACCCTGTCTCTCTCGCTGACTCTTCTTTCTGTTTCTGTCCCGTGAGCACATGGTGCCTTGCCTGGCTCCCTGGTGCATCTCTCTGCCATACCCTGCTGCTGCTCCTGTCACCACCTCCACGACTGCTGTGGATTGCTAGAACCAGATGTCTCATCTCCACCTCTCACCCGAACTCCAGGCTCATCCCGATAATCTCCCACATGTAGTATCTCTGCCTGGGAGCCCCCCAAACACTTCAGATTTATTATGTCTAAAATTGAACTGAATTCCTGTTTTTTGATGGTTTCTTTCCCTCTGCCTTCCATAACTCACTGAATATCAATACTGTCCACCAAGTCATGTTAAAGAATTTCAAGTTTCCTGTTTTAAAAACTTTTCCACTGATGGTAACTCACTTTATTTTGGTAAGGATTCACTTTGCAATGAGATTTTTATTGATTAACACTAGACTCTCTTTATCTTTACATTTTCCTGTCTTTCAGATAGGAAGAAATATTCCCAAAATAGGAATTTCTAGAATTTGAGGCTAGTTTTTAAAAAAGTTTTTACTTTTTAAAAAGCTCCTTCATGCTTTTTCAACTCCCTCCACACACCCAGAGTCAGACCTTTACTAGATGACTGCTTTTTCATTTTCATTTTCTGGTCCCTCTGTCTTTCCTGTCTGCTGTTTTCATATTAGTGTTCCTCAAGGTTCGATCTGCTGCTGTCTACCATTTTTCCCCGGGCAGTCTCACTATTTCTCAGGGTTTCAATCACTACTGAAGTGTTGGTGATTTCTCCAAGCGTATGTCGCTGGATGTCAGAGGACATCTTTCTTGAGCTTCAAAACCAAATTTCCAACTACAGATGAAATCTGCCCTGGGTGCTTATCTGAGGATTCACAGCCTTTAGCAATTGAAAGCCTCATCTCTAAACCATTATTTTGTGTACACATAAAAACCCCCAAACGCTGTCTGAGCTCAGTTCATTGATAATAGAGATGACATTTCTGGCATCACCATGCGAATCTTCTCACCAGTAGCCATTTAGTCTCTAGGACCCTTTCCCCTAATATTTGGCCCATGCAGCCATGTGATACTAACCTTCAATTTCCCTTTACCCTCAGTGAGACTCACCTTGTAGCAGTCATTAGCGATGAGCTGTAATAGGCTAAAGGATTCAGCAGAGGTTTCCATCTTGAGATAAAGTTCCCAGGCTAGTCTTGGTTTCTTATTCATTATGTCTACAAAAAGGAACAAGGGTTTATGCTGTGTTTTTTTAAAAGATGTTATTTATTTTTAGAGAGAGGGGAAGGAAGGGAGAAAGAGAGAGAAACACCTGTCTGCCTCCTACACACCCCCAACTGGGGATCTGGCCTGCAACCCAGGCATGTGCCCTGACCAGGAATTGAACCCATAACCTTCCAGTTCACAGGCCAGCGTTCAATCCACTGAGCCACACCAGCCAGGGCAAATATTTATGCTTTTTAAATGTGCAAGAAATATACTTCTGCATCTTGCTGTTCTATGGACTTGGTTCTAGGTTTCAAATATACAAAGTACTGGTAAAGAGCTACTACATGGAAAGCTTGCAGTTGGCATTAACCTGGTTCCTCGTCTGAATCCTACCATACTGACCATTTTTATTTAAATTAGGATTCAGACAATTATGTCTTTTTAGATTGGGCTGATTTCCAGTGGTTTCCACTTGGGTCATCTGCTTTAAAGAGGACATCTATCCTTCACTCAGTTCTACTCATATACTTTCAGCCCCATTTAGGATTTCTGATTGCTAAAGTGTTTCTGCAACTTTAAAACTCAGGGAACATTTTAAAACTCAAGGAGCAATAAAAGTTAGTGAAAACAGAGGAAAAGATAGACTATAAGCAATATAATATTTTAAAAATTATGTTTTTTTACATTTTCCCCCTTTAAGGCCTGCATCACAGTGAAAAGGTAAAATTAGCATGACAATATCATTTCACACAGACACACACACACACACACACACACACAGAGTAAAATGAGACTCTGGGCACTGTGACGGGAAGGACCTGGCATCTCCCGGGACTGTACATGCTAGGTCAGTGCCCTGTGGTAGAACTAATCACAGGGCAAACATGTATGTACATGGCCACCCTAACTGACTAACATTAATAATAGCGTTCACTTATTCCATAGAGCAAAATACAAAACAAAATTAGAAAACGCTCAGTATAGTTTCCATCCAGAAGATTATACAGGAGAGATTAAAAAAGGATTCCTCTGTAACATTTAAAAGAAGATTCACAAAACAGTCACAGGGATGCCAAGTACGGCCTAGGGAATACCGTCAATAATATTGTAATAACTATGCGTGGCCAGGTGGGTACTGGATTTATCACGGTGATAACTTAGTAAGTCATACAATTTCTAATCACTGGGTTGTACACCTGTGTGCATTAGTATATTAAACTAACATTATATTGTATACTGACTGCAACTGAAAAATAAAAAAAATATTTATAGTAAAAGAAAAAGAGAGCAAGAGAGACTCACAGCACCGAGCTAACCAACTGAGGTAAATGTAATCATTTTTCAACTTCTCATTTTGGATTAAAAGGAAAACCTGCGAGAAGAGGAAAGAAAGGGAATAAACATGAAGATGGGTTTGCAGTAAAAACATCCATATCAGCTGATTCTACATTAACGATTAACACAGCCTTACAGATGACCCAACTCTACGCGGGCTGCTGAGGAAGCGCAGGACAAAACTGTGGGGACTCCGCACGCTTGTCTCAGTTATAGATTTCACAAGCTGCAAAAGGTGGGTAAGGATACAGAAGACTTAAACCGGATGATTAACATCTGCTCCACACATACTATCTTCGAGAACTCTGGACCATGTTACTGGGCAATGTTAAAGGACTGGGGTTACATAGACAACACTGTTGACCCCAATACAATTAAGTTAGAAATCAAAATAAAGTAAGCTTAAAGGAATAGTGCATGTTTGAAAATCATGAAACACATTTAAAAGAGTTCACAGTCAAAAAAGAAACCCTAATGGAAATTAGTTCAATAATCTGTTGAATAACAAAATTCAATTGAATAATTCAGACAAATCACTCTGTGAAGTTAGAAGTCAAGACCATGGTTAGCCTTGGAGGAAAGAGATGGACTCAAAAAGGGGTTGAGGGGGCTTCTGGGATTATGATAATTTTGTTTCATGATTTTGATTCTGATTATTTGGGTCTATTCACCTTAAAAATTCCATCAAGCTATATACTTCAACTTGTATACTTTTCTCCATGTTATAATTTTATAAATTTATCAAGAAAAAGGAAAACATTAACATGGTTATAAAATCCATATGTCTATTCACATTGTACTTTTAAATGTAACCTAAGAACAAAGAAACTTTCAACAAAGAAACCTCTCTTACCCTTGAACATTTTATTCTAGTGAGAAAAAGATAACACTGTTTTTAGACAGCATCATTCAACTGCCTTCCAAGCAGTACCCACCTCTTCGCCCTCACTGGTGTTGCCTGTTGCGGCTTTGGCTTGCGCATAATTAAAGTTAAAGGTGTCGTCATTATAGAAGTAACTCTGGAAAACATCCCAAGAACAGGTCACATTGAGCCTTAACATACTAAACATCAGTTATACCAGGTAAACACAAAAATAAGCTTAAGGAATTCTCTGATGCCATTAATGCCACCATAGTAAAGTGGCCATCTCTAAGAGTGTCTTATCTCTGACACATTATAAAAAGTGTTTTGTATACAAAGTCATCTAGGAGATTCTATACTGACCTTAAATGAGTTGAGGTAAATCAAGACATCATCGAATTGCTTGAGCAGGAAGAAACAGGAAGCCATGCACTGCCTCCCTGGGATCGTATCTGAAATGGAGTGGGAAAGATACCATGTGCATTCATGAAACTAAAAGGTAACTTTAGCTGAAATTTCAGTTATTTTATAATTTGGAGACAGGAATGTATTTCAAGACAGCTTTCCAGACTCTGAAATTATAGATTCTGTTCAGCACACAAAACCTCAGTGTAACAGAGATCACAGTACTTGAGGGTGACCAAAAATCTCTCTCGGTGTGAGTCCAGAACAGACACGTGCCCTGCGGGGCTTCGGTATTTTCCAGATCTATTCTGGGGCTTTTCTAGCACATGCAACTCCCGTGGCTCAGTCTCCATCATTACCTAAGACAAGCTAGCACTTTCAGTCTCACATGGAGAAATAGTTTGCCATCTGATCCTGACCCACTTTTTGCCTGATGTCATGTTCCTACCTGAGGTGGCAGATGGTTAGTATAAACCTCACACCCCCACTGTTACTTTCAATCCTCGTTATTCCCTTTCTGCTCAAATTTTTTCCCTATAGCAACTCATCACAGTCATGTATACTCTAAAACCTATTTATTTTTTTAGGTTTATAGTCTGTCCCACTAGACTGTATGCTCCACAAGGGAAGGTGACTTCTTAGTTTTGTTTACAGCTTCTATCCCCAGCACCTCAATACATTTTTGTTGTATGAATGAATGAAATGGGGAAAGGAAATGTTATTCAATGAATGGTTTTGGTAAAATATCTGAAAAAAATATCCAGGGGTGAAAAAATACTTAACAAGCGATTTAGCACGAACATGTCATCAGAATGCATGCTGGCCACAGATGACTGGTACAGACAGCCATATGGGTTCATGGCCAGCTGTCAGCCCTTTTCACTTATTTTACTTTATTTTTTAAAGACTTTATTTATTTATTTTTCAGAGAGAGGGGAAGGGAGGGAGGAAGAGAGGGAAAGAAACATCGATGTGAGTGAGAAACATTAATTGGTTACCTCTTTCACTCCCCAACCAGGGACCTAGCCTGCAACCGGGAATCAAACCAGTGACCTTTCATTTGTGGGACGACCCCCAGCCCCCTGAGCCACACCAGTCAGGGCTATCAGCCCTGTTTATAGCTCTTTCTCAAACCTTACACTGAATGTGGAATCAGTATTTTCATAATGGAAACAGAGCCACAAAACTACTTGTGGGAAATGTAGGCAAATATTACATAACTGCAGGGGTAAGAAAGCACTGTCAAAGCTTGAAACCCATGTAAGAAATCATCATGGAAAAGATAAACTTAATTGGGTAAGGTTTAAATATTTTTATATAAGGAAAAATATGACAGGAAAAGTTAAACATCAAATGACCCACTAGGAAAAATACCTGCAGCATGACAAAAGTTTAATACATAAAGAGCTCTTGAAAAATCAATAAAAGTTAATGTCTCAAATAAAAAATAGAATCAAAATTTAAAACGTTCATGAACTGAAGAATACACTTAGTCTCCTCTATTTCTATATCCTCTTATCCCATGCAGCTGAGAGGTTGAGAAGGGCTAGTTCCAATCTTCTCTGCTGTGTCTGACTTCCCACTCTGCAATGGGAAACCTAACAGATGTATCCCTGGACAGAGAATCCAACTTTGCCAATCAGCATATGACAGGCTCCAGTGATGACTCAGGCTGGTAAGATGGGCTTCAGACGTACCACATTCACTCGCTGATCCTCCCACCAACTGAAAGAACTGCTGGGCGATTTTCATATGATCCCTCTGAAAAGCAAAGCAGAGCCAATGTAGAGGAATAAACTAAAAAAAAGTTGGTTGTATTATATTTTATAGTTTTAACGTATTTGTCAGGATTTAACACATACCCTTGTTTTAAATTCTCCCCCAAACAAAACTAATTCTTATTAGCATAAGCAACTAGAAAATGATAACCTGAAAATGAATGAAAAACACCTCTGGGTCAGATAGAAAAGAAAAAAAATCCATCCCCAAGTTCTATCCTAAAAGTGACTTCATTAAGTGAACTCATTCATTTACTCATTTATTCAACACATATTTATTGCTTTTTCACCATCTATCAGAACTTGTAGTAGGACTGTGGTTATAACAAGGAGTATTTATTAAATGAACTCATTCATTTATTCAGTAACTACTTACTGCCTATCTGTTAAAGGAGGCACTGTGAAATGAACTGGAGATAAGATTTATTTATATCCCACTTTGTTTCACAAAGAACTTCCTATTCTTATTTAGTATTCAAATATTAGAATGCTAAAGAATAAAAGAATTATTATTATTTTTAGACTACTGTATGAATAACAGATGAATAAGAGCTTAATTTTAGACAAAGTTTTCATGTTTATAAAAGCTCTCCCATGGAAACAATTGTTTCCATTTTACAGGTGCCAAAATTATAGCTCAGAGGTGTGCAATGTTTTTTTTTAAGTCACTGAAAATAAGAAGGAAGCTGTGTAATGATTTATTATTAGATATATACATTGTTTATAAAAAGTAGGCTCTTTCCCTCGCTGGTATGGGTCAGTGGACTGAGGGCTGGCCTGAGAACTGAAAGGTGGCAGGTTCAATTCCCAGTCAGGGCACATGCCTGGGTTGCGGGCCAGATCCCTAGCTGAGGGTATGCAAGAGGCAACCAATCAATGTATCTCTTGCACACTGATGTTTCTTCCCTCTTTTTCACCCTCCCTTCCCCTCTCTCTAAAAATAAATAAATAAAATCTTTTAAAAATAAAAATTAGGCTATTTTTTTTAAGATAAAATATCCTTTTGGGCAAGATTTAATTCTTTTAAAACATATTTTATTTATTTCTTTTTAGAGAGAGAAGGGAAGGAGAAAGAGAGGGAGAGAAACATCAATGTGTGGTTGCCTCTCATGCATCCCCAACTGGGGACCTGGCCCGCAACCCAGGCATGTGCCCTGACTGGGAATCAAATCCGTGACCCTTTGGTTCATAGGCCTGCTCTCAATCCACTGAGCCACACCAGCCAGGGCAAAATTAGGCTATTTTTAAACAAAACAACAATTCTTAGCATTAAAGCCCCCTCTTTTGTCTTTAAAACAGAATCTTTTTACAGTGGAATCAGACTGGGGGATATGGACAAACGGAGCAAGTGCAGAAGAGCCTATGTGAAAGCTCATTGCTTGGTTGAACTCCGACACTTGTTTTGATTGTTTTCCATGCACTGCAAACCTTTGCAAACTACAGATAAGCAGCGATTTTATACTCACCGAGCCCATTTCCTGGCCGAGGGCTGCATTGACCACTCCCTTGAGGATATACTCCTGGAAACATGGAATAACACTGATTGATTGTAAAGGAATGTGGAGCTGAGGTATCTTTCAACTTAATTATTTGTATCAACTCAATCCTTTATATATATTATCAAAAGTTACCCAGAGTTACTTTTCTCTGTCCTATCCCTAGTCTTCATGAAATAATTACAAGCCTTTCATTTGGTTTCCAGCAGGCAAGTGTCCATGTAACAGAACTCACCATATTTGTAAATTCTCAATCTCCAGCAGAAATCACTCAATGGAAACTTCTGGGAATTAAGTTTAGTTTCCTTGCAATGCAATGGAAACAAATTAACAGTAAAATGTTTACATAGTAATTTTTCTCACCTTGTCAGCCTGCCATTTTCTGTGATCATATATTTTCCCCTTTCCAATGACATAATATTCCTTTGCTAGTGATCCTTTCTTTAAAAAAAAAACTGTCTCTGTTTTTTGTCAGGTAGTCTCCTTGGGGTCCTGGGGCCTTGCCTATTTCCTTTTCAGACTCTTTTCTACTCTTTGACACCTGCCCTTCTTGGCAGTTTTATCAATTTTTATGTAGATACTCTTTATTTAAGAAGTTTCATCAAAAGAATCATAGAGAAGATGCTGAAGCTTTTAATGCATTTGAGAAATACACCTGTTTAGACTGCATGGGGCCTGGAAACATTTTTCAATCAGTCTTTTATTCAGTAAGTAGAATGGCTGCCATGTGCTTAGTCTCACAGTGTTGGGCATACAATACAGATACAACCCTGACTGCAAGAGGCTGCCGTGATAATCATGCGGGGGAAGAAGAGCAAGTTCCAGACAATTACCCTAGTGATTTAAGTTGTTGCTTTCATCAGAATTCTAGGTTTCAGTATTTTCAAACCTCAACCCCTTTGAGGAAATGACCACATATAAAGGAGATTAGAAATATCAAAAAACCCAGAACATTCACTCTTATATCAAAAGTCTCACAAAACATTCCTAGATCAATATACATGGACTTCCCTGGGATTTTATAAGCAGGGATCTTCTTTAATATGCCTTACAGCTACTGTTCCAAAGTCCCTTTAAACAGAACTTGGTTAGTAAAACTATGACACATTCTCAATTACCTGAGGAGTAGTAGGTTCCAGATCCTTAATTAAGTTATACGCTTCTTGTACATCATCTGAAATACAAAAAAAAACCTCAAAACAATTAACTATACTCATCTCTATTTCAGCAACCTCTTCTGAAACAGTCCCCAAAAGTAAGATCCTTTAGTACTCAAACATCCATGAGAAATACGATCTATTTTATCCGTCTTCTAATTCTCTATCAAGCTCGATGTTGAGTAGTTATCCTAAAGATAACCAAATATCACCCTGACCGGTGTGGCTTGCTTGGCTGAGCATCGTCCAGCAAAGGAAAAGGTCACCAGTTCCATTCCCGTTCTGGGCTCACTTTGGTCCCTGGTTGGGGCGAGTACGAGAGGCGCCTTATTGCTGTTTCTCTCTCACACCAATTATTTTTTCCCTTTCTTTCTCCCTCCCTTTCCCTGTCTCTAAAAATAAATAAAAGACAACCAAATATCCTCAGGAAAACCATATTAAGCTACGAAGCACCTAAAAAATATTCAAGCTAAAATTATGGACTGGGTGTTACATACTAAAGGCGTTATCGTTATCTAAGAAAAGCAACCATTAAAAATTTTTTTTCAACAACAACAAATAATAGATAGATATGGAGGTGGGCAAAAGTAGGTAAAATTACCTGCCATCATTACCTAAAAGATAAATAATAAATAAGGATATAAAAACACAATGATAATAAGAAGACGACCAATAATACAAATAAATAACACAGTGACCGGTAAATAAATAATAACACAAAAATAAACTGTCTCGCGCTCTCTCGTACTCACAGCTGCACAGTGATGTTTGCCCCCCACCACCCCCACCCCCTGCACTGAGCCTGCAGGAGGGAAGCCTGGAATTCGAGTTCTCACGCGGCAGCCACAGAAAAGGGAGGCAGGGACAGATGAACAAATATCGTCAGTTCCTCGAAAGCTGTTGAGTCTGGGATAAATATCTGGGTGTCCATTCTAGTTACGCTTGTTTATGGTTTGAAAACTTGTATAATACAAATTAATTCGTAAAACATATAAGACATTTCTTTAGTTCTTGTCCAAAAGTATATTTCTTTGTGCTTATATATCACATGGAGAGATGCGTCTGCAAGCTCATGTTTTTATCTTGAGGAACACATTCTCCTCCAGGAGGAACACGCGGTCGGCCTGGTTCTTGCCAGGCCCCCAGGAGGCCCATGCGGCTAGTCAGCGCGAGGACGGTGACCCGGCGCCACTGCCAGGGCCTGGCCACTGCCACCCTGTGCTTGTAACGATGTATTAAGTCAAAGACTGCTTTCAGCACGTGTCTAACAATTTCAACCTCACGTAGGGGCTATAAAAAAATCACGTTCTCTTTAAATCATATTTCTCATAAGATACCAGGAGTACGAAGAAAGAGAAAGGCAGACAATTAGAGTAAATAAAAAAGACAGTTAATGATTTTAAAAGATGCAAGAAGGTGTGAATGTACATGAAATATAGGGGAACTGTAAAAAGAAGAAAGAACTGCCAGGGAGGGGAACAAAAAACGATGGAAAACTAAAATAGAACATGTGGGGATCAAAGGAGAGGAAAATAGAACGAGGAACGAGGGAGAAGGTGGGAAGCAAAGGCGAAGAGAGGCTGAGGAGTGAAGGCACAGCCAACAGGCGCCACACGATCTGCCTCGCCCCCGGAACCTGTTGCAAACACAGTTTTGGAAGTGTTACAGAGTTTAAAAGCCAAGCAATAGTTCAATTAGAGATTTAATGTCCGAAACTATAAGCAAGAACAAGACAAATTTTTCTCACCTTGGCGAAGGTAGTAGATCACTAAGTTTAGCCTAGCTTCAGGAATGACATCGACCAGGGGAGGCAAAACCTGCAAAGCCCCTTCACCTCCTCGGAAAACCACCTAGAGACAGAGAAGCAGTAAGTACAAACATATTTATTGACGGAAGTGTTTCAGGAGCTGCCACTTACAACTGGGCACGTGACAGCCAACCAAAACAGCTCTGGGCGTCAGTTAATATCTTCAGAAGCCTTATCATTCAATGAATGTATTATTGCCTAACTATTACCTGTGCTTCTAACCACCTCTGTTCTTTCCCCTCCCCTCTAATTTTGATCCTTGTATTTAAATATTTCATTTTTTACCCTATCTAAAACCTATCTCCACTATCAGTCTTTATACCCTATTGTCCGTCCTAACTTCATTTCACATCTTTTTTCATCTGTTTTTTGGTCACACCCACCAGCGTGTAAGCCCCACATGACAAGGAACTCGCATTCACAGTGTACTCCCAGCCCCTAGAACTGTCACTAGTGTAGTCAGTACTCAGTTATCCTTGGAAAAGATGAATACACGTTTGAAACTCTCTACATACACATGAGCTCGGCCTCACTGAAAAAAAAAAAACAAAAAAACAAGCCATTATCTGAATTAGACTAAGTCTAGAAAACAGAATGAATGAATTGCATACATTTCCTTTTCTCTCCATAAAAACTTCAGAAAACTCTTCAAGTACCCGATAACTGATGAAACTTTTTCTAGGCAGATATTCTATATCAAAAATCCCGTGAAGGAATATGTATGGCCTTTTCTGAGCCTGTTTCCTCATCTCCACGTGTGCGCCTGAATTAGTGATGTGCGCCTTTCAGGGTCATCACGGAGACTCAACACATTAAAGCGGGCTCCCGGGTAGCGCCGGGCAGGCAACATTTCATTTCATTGATCAGCGAGTACCCATCGGCCCCTACTGCATGGTTACGGTGGGAACAGTCACTCCCCTGTCACACACAGTACAGGCCATACTCAAGTGAGGAGTGACCTTCCCAAAGCAAACACGTGAGTGTGCTGTCACGTGATAATAAAGGTCAAGGTGAACAGCGACAACAAACCGCGCCCCCTGCCCCGTGAAAGGACAGCTGCGCTCACTGCCGTGTTCGCGGGGCGGCGCTGTGTCCGGCATGTGACGAGTTGTCTCACAAGTAAGCACGCAGAAATCAAGACCGTCCACCTCACAGTATCTATTTAGTCCTCTTGTTCTGGGTCCTTCTCACCCAGGTTGTTCACTTCTTTTACCAGGATTAATTCCTTCACCTGTCTTCCTGATCTCATGGCTTGTAACTCCATCTGGACCTTGTTTCTCCAGTAATTCATCATTCTGTCTTGAATAGCCATGGCCCTAATTCTCAACTTGAAACATGTACGAGGGTTTTTGTATAAAATGTTGCACTGGGTGCCACAGTCCCCTCTGGATGGCACCCTAGTTTTCTCCTTTCCTTCCGTGCCACCTTCAAAAGTATGTGGCTTCCTGTGTCAACTTTCTTCTCTTCCCCTTACTCATTAACCTCCCGGAAAGGAGTTTCTGCTCTCAGCACACTAGTAAATTTACTCTCACAAATCACAGGTTAACCCTTTTAACCAAATTCAGTGGCCTTTTCGGTCCTCTTGCTCCACGACGCGTCTGCAGTTTTGACCCTCACAGCCCTCTTTGCCAAATGCTTACGACTGGAAACTAGAGGACCTCTTTCCAGCCCAGGCAACTTTCCCCTCATCTCTGTAGTTTTTCTGGCTGGTCCAATAATTCGACCGGCATCCAGTAGATTAAAAGGAGAAAATCAAATTTAGTGTGCGTGTATGGGGAATTCACATAAGCATTCTAAAGACAGAGAGGCAAAATGAGGTGGACTATTGTTTTGGACAAAGAAAGGGGAGGTAGGCCGTCACAGGTAGTTGAGAAAGAGCAAACATTCCATTAACAAACGTTAGCAGGGCCACCCAGAAGCAAAGGGAAATCCGATTCTTGCTTGGATCCCCTCCCCGCCACCCGTTGTCTGCCTCACTTAATTCACATGTGCTAAGGTGAATGTGCTAAAGTTCTCTTCCTGAAGTCGATTTTTCTATCTGAATCTCTTCAGGCAGGTGAGGGGGAGGTAAAAGCTCTTACAAATCTAGTACATGGCTCGGTTTTTACCTCAAGTCTGACTGCTAAAGTTGGTGTTCATAATAACCATTTATATTGTTCAGTATTGTTCAAATTTTATTTTGAACTTTAAAATATGTGTTCATTGGGGAAAAGAAAACTTTGTAAAAGAAAACAAAGGAAAATTTCCATATTGTCACTTCTTTCTTTAATCTCACTCTCCAAGAATAATCCCTATTTACTTACTAGCTGATGTGCTCCTTCCATATATGCGGTAGGATTCTCTAATATACAGAGTGGTGTTTTGCTCCAGAGGTCTATTATATCCACCTGGGAAGCTTCTAAGAAAAACATTGATAGCTGGGCCCCAGCCCAACCATTAAATAAGAATCTCTGAGGGGTGCAGCCCCTGCATCATAATTTTTAAAAACCTCCTATGTGATTAAAATGTGGAGTTGTACATGCCATTACATTACCTAGGTGCTCTTTCTTGCCTGCCTTTTCTTGTCTTATTTGCTTATGCTCCTTCCTCCAGTCCCTTGAACATGGATGCTCTCTTGGAACCATATTTCTCTCTGTTTTTAACCGGGCCTCCCACATTTAGCTGTCAGGACTTCAGCCATCACTCCCTTCACGAAAACTCCTAACCCTGTTCTTCAGTCTCGATCTCGCTGCAAGCTTAACATCCAGACTAGTATCTCTAACAGATCATTCTCCACAAAAATTAATCTGGCTTGATTTATAAACTAGTTTAGAAGTGAAGCGATTAGAGGCAGAAGCTCATAGTAGAAACCATCCAACAGAGACTGTATTTGTGATGCAGGCCTGACTTATAGAAATAACATAATAAATACAAGACATTGTCGAGGAAGGGCAGATACAAATAATGACTGAGTAGAAATCAGAAATCAAGGGGGAAGAGAGTCTAAAACAACTATGGTTTTCAGCATGTGTGCTGGGAAAACTGGTGCTAAAGAAAGAGAGAAATCAGAAGAAAAAGTATAATTATTATTGCCATTTTTAGGTGAGGAATCTGAAACTAAGCAATATCAAATAATTTGCTCAGTGCCCCCAGGTGCCCGAGTAGAAGGCAGCCGCTCTGCATCCGTCTACTTTAGTATCACGCCACAGCAGAACCAGACTTCATCTGCCTGAACTTTCAGCAATGGCCCTCATAGCCCAGCCCTCACCCTACTTGCCCCTTTACTTTCCTGCTAAGTACAACTTGTCTTTCCACCATGCTCCACCGCAACTTTCTGCTCCAGTGAGCTCAGTCTGCTCACGGCCTTTCACCCATGTCATCCTCGTTCTGAGTCTCGACCATCATTCAAAGAAGAGCTAAATTTGACTTGCACAGAAAGCCTTTCCCATGCATTGTACCCGCCAAAGACAGGCTCCTGTGTCTTTGCCAACAGACTGAACACGTGGCTCTACACTGGCTCACACATATCTGTGGGGGGGCAGTCTGCCACTCCAAAATGTGCCTTTTGGGGGTATTGATTGCTCTAAACTGCTTACCTTTAAGAAACAGAAGACTCAAGAGGAGCCCTGTACCTCCCCCTTACCCCCATAAAGAAATTTAGGTAGAAAAGCCTGCACCAGGAAGGGAGCTATCATAGAACACTGCATTTTCATGCGACCTGAGTATGGCAGACAGCAGGGAACCCACAATGCCTGTGTGTGAGCGTCCTTCTTGAGTCCCCTGGTTTCTGGGTGGCCCAATGACAATTTGTTTGCCAAATGTTTGCTTCTTAGCATCTGTTTCTGAGTTGTTTACCTTCCCTTTGAAGTCCAAACCACTACCCCCTCTCTCCTTAGCTCAAGAGAGCTTATAAGCCTCAACTGCCTGATTTGTCCTCAGGACCATATTCTTATGAAGCCTTTACATGTACACACATAATGCATTTGGTTATTTAGCTTGTTAATCTGTCCTGTGTCAGTTTGATTATTAGACCAGTCATAAGAACTTAGTAACAGTAAAACAAAAATTACTTTTCCTCCCTTGTATATAAAGAGAGTGGGCAAAATAAGGTTTACAGTTGTGAGTACATGAAATAGTTTATTCTTGTATTATTATTTATTAATTATTGTGTTATTTGTATTACAATATAAACCTACTTTTGTCCACCTTGTATATTACTATTTTCCCAATAAGGATTTCCCTGATGAAAAGGCCCAATATTTTAAACACATTTTCTCTCCTGGACAGCAAGGAGGAGTTCACTTGGAGTAGAATATTTGCTGAGATTTCTCTCTGCATTCATCTTGCTAACTGCTGAGATGTGCTAAATGGGGTGGGACTCAAGTCAGTCAAGAGGGGAATCCATTATTCACCAGATTGTGCCTGATGAGTTCCTTAGCAAATTCAAAGGAAGAAGAAGCGTTGTCCATCAAGCTTTTGAGTTCTGTCTGAAATTGAAAAAGGAAAGACTTATGAAAATGACAAGTGTGCACAGTTCTAACACCACATATTTCAACAATGTTTTATAGTGTCAAAGAATTTAACATGCTATTTCATTTGTTCCTCAGAACACTAAGGAATAAGGTAATTATCGCCATTCCCATTTTACAGTTGAGGATATTGAGGCTTACAAAAGTTAAGTGACTTGAACCTTACACTAAGCAGCAAGTTTGAAATCAGTGAAACCAAGGCTGAAGACTCCTAGAGTTAGCCTCTTCTTTCAGGGTCAAAGGCAATAAAGGAGCTAAACCTTTAGCAACTGAGGTTGATTCTTCAATCTGACCTCTTCACCTATGCCCTGAATTCTCACCTCCTTCCTGCAATTCTTCCCTCTATTTTATCATTTATGAGACCTGTCAGATCTCTTCTGTATTCTCTTGCCCCCTTAACACCCTTTCACACCCCTTCGAAGAAATGGTCAACCATTAACCGTGTCTTCACTAAGATAGTAGAATCATCCCTTCCGCAGCTTGCTGCTATTCCTACCTTGCCAATCTGTAATTTTGAGTAATCCTCCCTTTCTTCTTTTCCTACTTTCATCAGTGGGTAGCTAAGCTTTTCTGGATAAATTATTAAATTCTGTCCTGGCTGGTGTAGCTCAGGGGATTGGGTGCCGGCCTGAGAATAGTCAGGGCACAAGCCTGGGGTGTGGGCCAGGTTCCCAGTGGGGGGAGCATGAGAGGCAAGCATATATTGATGTTTCTCTTCTTCTCTTTCTCCCTCCCTTCCCCTCTCTAAAAATAAATAAATGAAATCTTTCACAAAATTATTAAACTCTTGATTGTTCTCACTAAGCACGGCAAGCTTGTTCTACCTGATCGCTGATGGAAATGCTAGTCTACTCAGCAGTTCTTTTATTAATCTCTTGATCAGAGCAGTAGTTGCCAAGTGTGGGGTAATCTTAGGCTGGATCAGCAGTTTTCAAGCTTTCAAATCTCAAGATCCCTTTTGTAATCTTAAATACTATTAAGGATCCCAAAGAACTTTTGTTTATGTGGGTTATATAATTGATATTTATTGCATTAGAAATTAAGACCCAAAAATTTAAGGATTTAATTAATGCAGATATATAAACCTATTATACATTAACCTAAATAATATTTTTCACTTAATAATAATATATTTTCCAAGACAAAAATTTTGCAAGCAGAGTGGTACTGTTCTACAGTTTTGCAAACCCCTGGCTTAATGGAGGACTGCTACACTGGCATTTCTGTAACTGCATTTGAACTGTTTTGAAATCACACTGTCTCTGGAAATCTTCACTGAACACCTGAGAGAATGAAAACGAAAAGACACAATCTTTTTGTGTTCTGAGGATAGTTTTAACCTCAGGCAGGGCCAGCCAGAACTAAGGGTGAGGCAAGTGAGGTGCCCAGGGCGCAGGTGCAAAGCAGCACCCCTCACACCTGTGCAGCGGGCAGGTGCTAAACTTTCCACCTCCCACCTGGGTAGCTGGCCAGCTCACACAGCCCATGCCCGCCTCACAGACCCCGCAAAACAAGAGTCCCAGGTCACAATCTGAGAGCCTCTGGGCTAGATCCAATGCTCTCGTTGTAAACCAAATAAAAACAGATATTTTAAGACATTTTTTTAAGAATACCGAAGACAGTAAGGAGTTACCAGACCAAAAGAGCAGGGAAAAACAGAACCTAGAGAAGTAGGCAAGCATGGAAACCATTTTTGCCCTGAAGGCTGTACTTACTGATTCTATAAAATTAACACTTGTGGTTGACAGTGTTGCCAGGCAACAATAAAAAAAACAAAGCCCTGGACCCGCACAGGGAGTCTAGCAGGAGACCTATCCCCACCATCGGCCAGGACTCCCCAGAGCTCTACTGACAAAAGAAGGGTGAACAGAACTCAACCATCTCTAGCGTGGAATGGCCGCCCAGCTAGGGTTCCGTGGGCAGTGAAGGTGATCTCAAGCCTTGAATTTGGGTCAAGGGGGTCCCAAACGGACAGTTCTCCTGGATATCTCGCGGAGTAAATGCACATCGCTTAGGGAGAAAAGTGCCTTTACTGTAGGCTTGAAGTTACTCCTGTAAGTAATTTTTCAAATACTGTGTCAAGCACACACACAAAGATAAGCTGCCATTCAAAGAAACTACACTCCTCCAGGGAAGTGAGAAAAAAACAGAATGAAACCCACAAAAATTTCAGAAATTCAAATAATCAAACTCAGATCATAAAACCAGTATGCTGTCAATGTTTAAGAAAATGAAAGATAAACGTGAAAGTGTAAAATTAGAAACGGCAAGAAGTGAAGATTTTTAAGAAAGAAAGAACTGGAAACATAAAATATTGTAAAGAAAATTCATAACCACATGGCCAGGTATCACATAAATGAGCCGAAACAGCCACTGTGTGTACATTTTCACAGCCGGCTGAGACCCATTAGTTCAAAAGCTTTTTGGCACCAAGCTCCAAGTTTACACATCCAATTGTTTTATGCATTTATTTTTAAAATTAAACATTTTTTCATTTATTGATTTGAGAGAGGGAGAGAAACCTTGATTTGTTGCTCCCCTTACTGATGCATTCATTGCTCGTTTGGGGGGCGTGCCCTGACAGGGAAGGGGGACACGGCTCCGACCAATCCGGCTCCCGGGCGGGCACAGCCAGTGGTTTTCAGCGCAGCCCGGATACACGTACTCGAGACTCTGCCTGTTTCTCACACCCCACACTTCCGGAACTCCTGCCAGCCGCAGATAAGACAAACCCCGGGGCTATAAGGAGCCCACTGCCTGCCAGACCTCCAGTAGCCTCTGACGTGGACACCCGCCCCCCCTCCACGGCTGAGACGTCATCCAGACGCGGAGCCCCTATCCGCGCGCCCTCCTCGCTAGCAGCTCCTCCACGCCCCCAACACGCCTTCTCCCGTTCGGGAAGGTCCCTGTGCCATCAGGACCCTTGGACGGTCACATTCTATGAGGAACTTCCCCCCCGGGAAAAAACCTTTCAAACAGTCACCCGAACAAAGTTTGTGGGTGCTGCCATCACCTCATGGTCACGTCTGTTTCCCGGACCAGCCCTGAACTCCCTGGAGCCCCTACACCGTTCCGATGAGGGTTAGATTCCCCTAAAAAGAACTCAGGAACGGGGGAGGGGGCGGGGAGACGCCGGCACGTACTGCGTGGGGACGCAAAGGAAGGAACACCGGGAAGAAGGGGTAGGAGGGGACGGTGCTGCGGACGGTGTAACTTATCCTCGATCGAAGTCCTGAGGTAAATATGAGCGACAATGCGTGGAAGAAACACCTGAGAGAAGATGGCTGAGGGTTTTTCAGTTAGATTAGAATCGTTAAGACACCGATTCAGTAAGTCCCATTAAGGCAACATTTTTTTTTAAACGTTTACATCTAGTTAAATCATAATGAAACTGAAGAAAATAAAAAATGAAGAAAAATTTAAATAACATTTTTAATTAAAAATGATAGATTACTCTAAAATAAAGTTAGATTGATGGCTGGCTGCTCAACATAAAAATGGACCTAGAAGATAATGGAAAATATCCTCAATGTGCCAATAAGGTGCCCTATACTTAACGAAGATACCCTATAACATATATGAGGGAAAATAAGGACATTTTCAGACAAACAGAAACAGAGTTTGCCACCGGAATCTCACTGAAGAGATCCTGATGAATAAACTTGAATCAATAGGAAAAGGATCCCAGATGGAAGGTTTCAGTTACAATTAAGAATAAAGAGGAAAGAATACAATTTCTTAAATGTTGTAACACTAGATAAATGATTAGATTTAGCAGCAATAACTTTTTAAAAATATAATGGTAAAGGAGAAGACAACAACAGCATGTGAGTGAGGAAGGTGGCAAATGAGGTGAAACTATTGTCCAGACTTCCCACTGCGGGGGAGGAGAGTCAAGATGAACAATACACGGGGTCCCGCGCCCTGACGGCTGTGGCCTGGCGGGTTGGGCGCCGCCCGCTCTGGGCGCCGGCCTAGGTCGTGGGGTTCGGTCCCGGTCTGGGCACGCACGAGAGGCACCCGATCACGTTTCTGTCTCACACAGACGTTTCTCTCCCCCTCTTCCTCCCCCTCTTCCTCTCTCTCTAAAAACAAATAAATAAAATCTTTAAAAAACATTGATTATATGAAGGATGCCTGTGGTAATTTTTATGGTAACCACTCAAGCATGAAATGGGCGGATAACTTCTGAAGCTATCGTAGTAAAAAAATAAAGATAAAAAATAGCCAATCAGCCCTGGCTGGCGTAGCTCAGTGGATTGAGCGTGGGCTGCAAACCAAAGTGTCTCAGGTTCGATTCCCAGTCAGGGCACATGCCTGGGTTGCAGGCCATGACCCCCAGCTACTGCACATTGATGTTTCTCTCTCTCTCTTTCTCCCTCCCTTCCCTCTCTAAAAAATAAATAAATAAAATCTTTTAATAAAATAGCCAATTAAAACCATCCAAAAAAAATGACCCAAAAAAGGAGAGAAAAATAGAAGAGGTGAGACAAACAGAAACACAAAACAAGATGGTAGATTTTTACCTAATTAGCATCAGTATTAGTATTTATAATAATTAGTATTATAAACTGTAATTAAACCTAATTGATTAAATACTCCAATTAAAATTTTACACAAGATAAGCAAAATTCAACTACATTTTTTGTAAGAGACATACTTAAAATATAAAGTTATAAAGGAGTTAAAAGGAGCCCTGCCAGGCGGCCCGCTCGGTTGGAGCATCATCACCTCCACCAGGAGGACTGTGGGTTCCATCCCAGGGCAAGAGCATGTCTAGGTCTTGGGTTTGATCCCCAGTTGGGGAGCGTACAGGAGGCAACCAATTGCTGTTTTCTCTCTCACGTGATGTTTCTCTCTCTCTCTGCCCACCTCTACCCCTTTCTCTCTCTCTAAAATCAACAAACATATCCTCAGGTGAGGATTAAAAAAAAAAAAGGAAAAGGATGGTAAAAGTATGCCCTAGGAATACGAACGAAAAGAAAAACTACACTAATAATAGCACACAAAATGGCCTTTAAGGCAAAAAGCCTAATTAGAGGAAAGGGAGTCACTTTATACTGCTAAAAGCTTCAGTTCGCCAGAAAGCTGTAACCATTTAAACTTTGTACATTCCTTAAAAAATGATTTCAAAATATATAAAGTGAAAATGGAAAGAATCACGAGACAAATTCACAATGACAGTGAGAGTTTAACACAGCTCTCTGTAATCAATAGTAAGCAAATTATAAAATTAGTAAAGTGATAGAAGTTTTGATAAAAACATAAAAAACTAATTTGACTTAATGGGCATATATGGAACCTTGCACCCAATACCTTCAGAGTATACACTGTTCAAGTACACATGGAAAGCTTAGAAGTACTAGCCACATATTGGAGCCATGAAACAAGTTTCAAGAAATAAATGCCAAGAGATTCAAATCATACAGAATATATTCTCAGACTACAATGTAATTTTACTAGTAATCTTAATAAAATTACAACGGGAAATTTGCCATGTATTGGGAAATGAAGAATTCTTCTAATTAATCTGAAATAACTCATACTAAAAATCAGAAGTCATATTGATACTCAAACATGGAATGCAGCTAAAACAATACTTTCAAATTTATCACCTCAACTGAATGTTTTAGAAAAGAAGCCTGAAAATTGACAAGCTAGACATCCATTTCAATAATGTTTTAAAGTACAGCAAACCCACGGAAAGAAAACAATAGGAAGGAAATGACGAAAGTGCAGAAATTAATAAAGTAGAAAGCAATGACACAACAGAAAAGATGAATAAAACGAAAAGTTGGTTTTTCGGAAAAACTGAAAAAATTGAAAATGTAAATGAAATGGTCAAACTTGTAAAAAAGTATAACCTATCAAAAACAACACAAGAAACAGAAAATATGAGTAGTCCTACAACCATTAAAGAAATTGAGTTAGTGATTTAAAACCTCCCAAGCCTAGGGAGAAACCATGACAATCTTATACAGGTATACCTTGTTGCTCTGTTTCATTGTGCTTTGCAAGTATTCAGCTGTTTGTTTGTTTGTTTGTTTGTTTAAGATTTTATTTACTTTTAGAGAGAGGGGAAGGGAGAGAGAAAGACAGGGAGTGATACATCAATGTGTGGTTGCCTCCTGTGCGCCCTCTACTGGGGACCTGGCCTGCAACCCAGACATGTGCCCTGGACTGGGAATTGAACCAGTGACCTCTCAGTTCACAGGCCCGGCACTCAGTCTACTGAGCCACACCAGCCAGGAAAGGTATTGCACTGCTTTAAAAAGTAAAGGTCTGCGGCAACTCTGCATTGAGCAAGTCTATTGGCACCATTTTTCCAACAGCATTTGGTCACTTCATGTCTGTGTCACATTTTATAAATTCTAGCAGTATTTCACTTTTTCATTATTAATATATTTGTATGGTGATCTGTAATCAATGATCTTCGATGTTACTCTTTTCATTGTTTTGGGGTGCTGTGAACCGTGTGCCCATATAAGATAACAAACTTAATGTGTATGTTCTAACTGAGTAGCCATTCTCCTGTCTCTCTCCCTCTCCTCAGGCCTCCCTATTTCCTGAGACACAAAAACATTGGAATTAGACCAATTAATAACCCTACAAAGGCCTCTAAGTGCTCAAGTGAAAGGAAGAGTTTATATGTCTCTCATTTTAAATCAGAAGCCAGAAATGATTACAGTCAGTAAGGAAGACACGCTGAAGTCAAGATAGGAAAAGCTAGGCCTCTTCTGTCAGTTAGCCAAGAAACTGCCACAGCCACCCCAGCCTTCGGCAGCCATCACACTGGTCAGTCACTCGCCATCAGCATCAAGGCAAGACCCTCCACCAGCACCGATTATGACTTACTGATGGCTCAGATGATGGTTAGCATTTTTTAGGAATAATATTTTTAATGAAGCTACATACGTTGTCCTTTTAGACACAATGCCATTGTATACTCAATAAACTACAGTATAGTATAAACATAACTTTTATATGCACTGGGAAACCAAAAGTGTATGACTCGCTTCATTGTGATATATGCTTTATTGTGGTGGTCTGGAACCAAACCCACAATATCTCCAAGTTATGCCTGTACAAACTTTTCCAGGAAACAACAGCATATGATACCCTCTCCACTCATTTAATGAAGCGAGTATGATCTCTGGACCAAAACCTAACAGGACCTGTTCTGACAGAAAATGAAATTCTAGACTAATCAAATTGGTAAGTATTGATGCAAAAGTCTTAAATGGAATATCAGCTAACTGAATCCTGTGAAAATTTATTGTAAAGTCGTCATAATTAAGGCAGCATGGTATTGTGAGCAGGAACAGACAGCAGGATCGACAGAACAGAAGGCTTTAGTGCCCAACAGCCAAGGGTTTGAGACCTGAATTTGCCGCTTGTAAAACCAAGCGGCAAATTCAGCAAGTTATTCAAAGTACATTAAGAGTTCAGTCAATCATTACAAATTATTCTGTAATTGCTGTAGAAGAGCAGCATGCTATTGGCGTTTGTGCAGGGAAGGAATCACACAATACAGAACCCATTACACAAGTTACTAGAGGAACGCCTGACTGTAAATGTTTTAGTGAAATTATCTTAAGTAAACACAAAATAGATCCCCTTGCTACAAAACAAAAAAGTTTTCTACGGCACATCTGGCAGTCCTGTCCTGCTGGAGCACGTTATAAAGTCACTGCAAACTGTACTGACACGATTTCACATGAAAAGGCATGTTTTCTGGGGATGGAAAGTGCAGTTTGCTGACCCGAGTTGGATAGAACTAGACCTACAGAATGTCGGTTAACCACACTACTCACACCAGACTACAGAAAGAACTTGTGCAGATAAAATGTAAACATTTAATAGATTGGATCTTATACCAAGATTGGCAAAGTCCCCAAGAATGACTCAAGGTAGAAAGGCAAGAATATGTATTTTTTATTTCTTCTTACCAAAGATGAAAACTCTAAAGAGATCACATTGTAAACCCACGTTACTATTAAACTGCTGATGCTGGAAACTAGCCAATTAGGTAGACTCGAGAGACTCTTTAGTTGAAATGAGTGTACCCAAGAATGTATTTTATATAACACGTAAATGGACTGTTTGGCTGTATGCTAAGCAATGTAATTGATGGGCATTTCTTTTACCACAATGGACCCCCGTTATTGACATGAGCCACGAAGAGTGTGCCTGGGCTTATGCTAAGCACACGAGCTCGCCACCTGCCTCCAACCCCGACAACCCTACACACTGTGTCCTCTGGGAGTCAAATCTCCTGTCAGCATGGAGCAGGTTAACAGTGCTCCTTGCTATTCCATGTTCACAAATGTTACTTGGATATAGTTCATTTGCTGGTTCAGTTTATTTCTTCCCTCCTCCTCTGGGTGGCACAATGCCAGCTGGAACTGTTTTTAGACAAGGATGGAATTTTTGGACAAGGATTAAATGTTGTTGGCATGTGCAGAAAGTTTACAGTTAAATCTTGGTGGCTTCTGATATCAACTACAGTAATGCCCAAGAAAATAATTTCCAAATATGGCCCTCTCCCAGGGTTAACTTAAAAATATCTGTACAGGGTGGGGCAAAAGTAGGTTTACAGTTGTTTGTATGGAAAATAATACAATAATTAATAAATAATAATACAAGAATGAACTCTGTTTCACATACTCATAACTGTAAACCTACTGTTTCCTCACCCTATATAAAACTGAATCTGTATACAGATACAGAACATGCTCTCTATCTATATGTCTATTAATATCTATATGCACAAGTATGTGTGTACATATATGTATAAGATGTTAAGTGAAATAAAAGGGGGGTCATAATGTATGGCCTCCTGTGCACTCTGCTTCCTGTAAAAGAGAGCTCTAAGAGAATTACCCACAGGCTTGTCAGGGAAACGAAACAGTGAGTATAAAGTGTTCTGCACAGTATTTATAAGGTAGCTGTGTTCCAAGTCTTTATAAAACAGCTACCACTGTTGATTCTTGTGGTAATCTTGAAGGAGACACTGACGTGTACCAAGCAAAGGAAGACAGCCTGGGAAGGAGAACAGTGCACACAAAGCTACAGCAGCCGGAGAGTGTGGCGTAGGGAGCAAATTCAGTGGCTGGCCTGGAGAGGACAAGACAAGAGGCAGAGAAACACCTGAAATAAGAGATGAGGACTGGAGCAGAGGCGAAGGAGACAGGGGATGGATACAAGAGATATCTAGAATGCAGGATTGGTAAAAACTGGTGAATGATTAGATAAATGGGGAATGAAGAAAGTGACGGATAACCTAAGATTTGATGTGATTTACATAGTACTGACATCGAAACACAGAGCCTCAAATGTATTTTAGAGGAAGAAGTGAAAATATTTGGTTTTCATATACTTGAATTATTTTTAGAGAGAGAGGGAGTGAGAAAGAGCAGGAGAGAAACATCAATGTGTGGTTACCTCTCATGCGCCCCCTGCTGGGGACCTGGCCCACACCCCAGGCATGTGCCCTGACTGGGAATCAAATCGGGGACCTTTGGTTCACAGGCCAGTGCTCAATCCACTGAGCCACACCAGCCAGGGCACATATTTGAGTTATTGTAAGGCATCTAGGTAAAGATCATCCACAATACACTAAACAGACACAGAGAATTTAGAAGTCACATTCTTTTTAGGATATCTGATAAATATAAATATCCATGTAGTTAGGTTCTTATATAATCACACTGGCAGTAACACAGGATATTCATCAAGACTTATAGATAATAGTTTCACGAATAACCCAGGAAGTCTAGGGCAGGTGAAATGGGAATTAAGTGAAAAACAAATCCCCATCACTACCTCAGCTGCTTTGCCATTGTAAAGGCGAAAGTGATTACAGGCCTTAAGGTTGAGTGCGATGGTACTGTCAGGAATTTGCTGAAGGTAAACAGCCAGAACTTCTTGAGACACATCATAGTAATCCAACTTGTAGTAACATAAAGCCACATACACATTGAGGGCAAGGTACTCCCTATTAGATAAAAGAATTAAAGGTGAACAGTTCAGTCTGCATCATAGAAATGTGGTCAACCTATGAAGACTTTTAATGGCTAAAAAAACAGCAAGGCAGAGGATATGAATTTGCCTTTTGAAGAAAGAAGGCAAGATGTAATCAGTGCACTATTTTTCCTTTTGTAGTATTTGGGTGTTTTGAGAAATAGAATAAAAGATGACAACTAGAGAAGAAAATGAAAAGTTCAACGCCTACCTGTTCATGTTAAAAAAAAACCTAACATACACCATAATTGTTCATGCAAATAAGCACACACCACGCAGAGGCTGGACAGCTCAGGCACACAGGCCTGATGACTGAAAATGGGGAAGGGTGAGACTATAAAGGCAGAGCAAGAGGAGGGAGAGAGGAGGCAGATGGAATCGTTTGGGGATGTGGGAGAGAGGCCAAGTGGTCAGTGATAAAATTGCAATGTTAATTTTTCAGAAGGTTTGTTTCTAACTTCTTCAGCAATTTACCTAAAGTGTTCTGCAACACTGAAATTGATATGGATGCATTTTCAATAGGGGCAATATCACCCTAAATGGGGCAAAAACTGGTTCTTAAAAAGGAGCAGGAAGCTTTATGTATGAAGCATAGACATATGTATAGTACATAAACAGACATACAGTATATGTGTAGCATTAAAATTTCATGGGAGGGCAACTAGGGGAAAAAAGAGCCTAAAAAGACTCCTGGGAAGGGTGATAGTGAAATAAAGGTGGAGAAACCCTGATGTAGACAGTAAGGAATTTTTACTTTCACCAGATTATTAGCTAACAGATCTGAACACACAGTGATACTAGATCCAAAGGACACTTGGTCCTCGTCCAAACTACTCATGGAAGAAACTAACGAAATGACACTTAGAGGAGATGTAAAAGGACACAGACCTGTTATCCAGCAGTATTCGCTTGTAAATATCAATAGCTTCTTGATAGTGAGAGCGCATGTAGTGGATTGAGGCCAAACTGAGCTGATCCTCCGTGATATCCTGAAGATTCTGATGGAAGTTCATCAACTTCTTCTCATCATTAAACTTAAATTGTGAGAGGGAAAAGGCATGAAACGCTTCACGTTAGAATGCAGAGATATCAACACCCAATGTTACTGAGATTTTAACACCTGCCCCTCCTTCAGCCACTTTTGTCTCTGTGTTCTCCCTATTTCCCTCCAGCTCTTGTCTTTGTCTCTCCTTCAGGAAAAGAAGGGAAAAAAACCTCTGGACACGGTCTTGACAATGAAAAGCCTTTAAGTTATAGCTATATTAATTACTTGACCCCCTCTTTCTTTTCTATTGCTCTTTTTATTTTCTCCCTTTCCTTATTTTCTTTATTTCTTTACCTTTTTAATATGCTGTTTACAAGAGAGACATTAAGACTGTAAGGATACAAAAAAGTGAAAAGTAGCCCTGGCTGGTATAGCTCAGTAGATTGAGTGCTGGCCTGTGAACTGAAAGGTCGCTAGTTCGACTCCCAGTCAGGGCACAGGCCAGGGTTGCGGGCCAGGTCCTCAGCTGGGGGTGTGCAAGAGGCAACTGATCTCCCTCATATACACACATTGATATTTCTCTCCCTCTTTCTCTCTGTCCTTCTTCTCTCTCTAAAAATAAATAAAATCTTTTTGAAAAAGTAGAAAGTAAGAAGATGTAAGGAGATACAGACCAACAGTAAAAAAGAGAGCTGGTGTAGACTCTTTCATCTCTCTTAAATACAACAAAGTAGACTTTATATGAAAAAGAATTTCTACAAAGAGAGACATTTTATAATGATCTGTGTTTCAAACCACTAGATGGACATAACAGGAATTTCTAGTTAATTATTTTTTACTGTTGTTGGTGACAAGAAAAAAAATATTTTTAAATCAAAAAGTGTGAAATCAGAATATGAATGAATACCTTGTGAGCCAAATGAAAGAGGAGGCGATTTTGAAGTCGGCTTTTTGGAGCTGAAAAATAAATCCAAGCTGCTTATTAAAGGTCTCAGTGGCCTATGGCACTTAGTCCCATGCAGGAGTGACATCAGACTCAGATAAACCTTCCCAAGCCCTTAGCTCTCTGCTCCCGATATATCTCTGCTCCACAATAATATGTATTACTTTATTCTGGTCTCCACCTGTAACAGCATCGAGAACCAGAAGGAAAATGTCCCGAGATTTTGCTCTTTGCTCGCCTTGTTCTCCCTGTTACGTGGACACCCGCATGGCACTCTGCACGAACAGCCCACCTCTGTGCTGTTCATAGAAGCAGACACTGGAGATCAGTGGTGGTCATTTCAGTGTGGGTAGGAGCCCCCTCCCAGTCAGCTGCTCTTCCCAGTATTCTGTGTCAATTCCTTCTGAAAGCTCCTCTTCCATAGTTATACTGCCGTATTTTCTTAAATGCTAGTCCCGGCTCTACTCCAGAGAACTTCTAGCATGAGAATCTTCCACAAGAAACAGGCAGCCACGCAAAAAGGTTAACACCTTTCAAGTTCTGGAGAATTTTAATTCTGAAAACCCAATCCTATATTTCTTTATGGCAAAAAGTCATACTTCAATGCATAGGAAAGAAAAAATATATACAAAATGAGATATAGCTACTTGATCACCTATTGTGTGTCTGACACTATTCTAGGCACAGATAAAGCAAGTATCTTAAAGGCCCTTAAAATTAAATTAGGAAAAACTGTATTAGTACATATTATACAATCTGGGTACAAATCAACAAAGGCTTCAAGTTCCACATGTTCCATGAATTTGAGCTGAAATTCTTTCTAAATGTGTATGCAGTTAATCCTCTAATAATTCTAACCTGGAATATATTCTTCCCTAACAAATTTCTTAAAATACTTCCCCTTGCTCATTTTCTCTATATTTCTTTCAATTTAATTTGCTTCATACTCTAATTATTCCTAATCTTCCCTTCTATATTTCCTTCTGCCCTATTTTTCTTTGCAAATTGGAGTCCTGTTCTCCTCAGATGACCGTCACGACAAGTGAAGCAAAAGGAAAGAAGTAGGGAGTCTTCAGACTGAAATTCGCTTTTCACTCAGAAGCAGAAAAAGCAGCTATAAAATCCATATCCATAAGAGTTTGAACAACGACGCCAACCTCTCCCAAGAGCATGAACAGGCTATCTTGACAGGGTCTAGAAAACAGAGCTTGCCCTCTTTCTTTTCAAATTCTTTTCCCAGTAGCTGTAGCTTCTGGGCAGTAGGGGACAGCACATGACAGAAAACATTTCTCTAAATAAATTTGCTAAAAAAAATTAAATAATAAAATAAATGTGCTCAAATCTAATATTCTTTGAAGAGGAAAGCTATGTTTTGGCTTTCTAATGTCTCTTGATTTTTTTTTGTCAACAGAAGAGGAATTAAATAAATTTTTAAATCTCCAAATTGACTCTTGCTATTAGTGATGAATACCAGACATTAAAGGGGCCCACTTTACCTTTAAATCCAGCAGCTTCAGCTTGTTTATACATTCCAAGAAAAAAGTAGGTACAGGCTAGATTCACCCAGACTTCAGGATTGCAGTTTTCCTCTTTTGTTGCATTCTCATATTCCTGAAATGTATATTAAGCAGTGATCTCATTTTAGCAGTAGTGTAACAGACCAGCCATTCTACTGGAATAGGATTTCTCACTGAGATTGGACAACTTCACATACAAGGAATCCTCAACTACATGCTCGACTATTCTCCACCCGTAAGGTTCAATTCTGCAGCTAAAGCTCAGTCCCAATCACACATGGCTGTGATCCATAGAAATGTTTCCCCCCTTTTAACACTAATATGTGCTAACAAAACTGCAGAAATGAAAAGTAACTAAAATATTTTATTTTTACTAAAAATCATACAAAGATAATGTATACAAATACATAGGATCAGTTAACTTAAAATCCGATAGCCTTACTATAAATTTCATTTCATTCTAATTGTTTCTGGCTTTATTTGGCTTTGCATTTTTAAAAAGCATTATTTTTCTTGCCAAGGCCCCCATTTTAAAAAAGATTTTATTTATTTACCTTTAGAGAAAGGAGAAGGGAGGGAGAAAGAGAGAAAGAAACCTCAATGTGGGGGCTGCCTCTCGCATGCCCGCCACTGGGAACCTGGCCCACAAACCAGGCGTGTGCCCTCACTGGGAATCGAACCGGCCACCCTATGGCTTGCAGGTTGGCACTCAGTCCACTGAGCCACACCAGCCAGGGCTCCCTTTCTGAGATTCACTTTGTCAACTACACTTTCCATATACTCTTACTATTTATCAGTCCATACCAGATGCCTTTATTTCTTTTTCTTACATTTGCATTACTCTCATCTTTCACAAATACTGCCAGCCTCTATGCTGTCCTTTTCACATCTTCCCTTTTCCTTCACTGGTTTTGTTGCTTTTGTTTTTCATCTCACCTCATGCTCTTGGATATTTTCATTTTAGTTATGCAGGTTCTTTAAATATCCTTAGAATACATTTTGGGAATAGGAATTTGTGGAAAATCCTTTAAAAGCTTCATTGTACGCTGAAAATTGCTCGACATAAGGCCTCTATATCTTTATCTAGATCCATAGTCCTATAGATTGTTCATTAGATAGGGAGGGTTTACAACCACCAAGAAAAACAAAACTTTCAAAACTATACTTGGAAAAATATAAAGATAATGTAATCTTTCCTGTGTCTAACCAAACAAGCCCTGACTGGTATGGCTCAGTTGGTTGGGCATTGTCATCCAAACCGAGGTCAAGGGTTCAATTCCAGGCAGGGCACATCCTGGGTTTCAGGCCAGGTTCCTGGTTGGGGGTATGCGAGACACAACCAATTGTTTCTCTTACACATTGATGTTTCTCTCCCTTCCTCCCCCTCTCTCTAAAAATAAAGAAATGAAATCTGTAAAAAAGAAATTAAATGAATACATATAAATAACCAAACCAAACCAAACAAAATAAAAGTGAACTTCTCTTGAGAAAAGACTCATGAAAACTTTTCTATCAAAATGGTTTATTTTTCCTCTCCTGAAGACTTACTTAATACTAATGTTAATATATTGTACGATCTCATTCATTTACATCTAAAAGTAAATAAGATATATATACATATTTGAACATATAAAGATTTCTGAAGCAATACATCAAAAAAGAGCCAATGGTTGCTTCCATTAACAAAGTGGAATTGGGGGACTTCCAGGCAAGATGGAGGCGTAGGTAGACACACAGTACCTCCTCCCACAACCAAAAGAAGGACCACAACAAATTTAAAAACAAAAAACAACAAGAAATCCCAGAAAACCGAACTGTATGGAAGTCCGACAACCACGAGTTAAAGAAGAAACATTCATCCAGACCGGTAGGAGGAGGGGATACCGGCAGCCTGGCAGAGAAGACTCGCAACCAGGCCTCAGCTGGCCGAGCAGGCGGTCCCACATTCACTTGCAGATAAACTAGGAGGAAGAACTGCGGAGCAAGACAGACGGAACAACCTAGGGTTCCAGCGGGGAAATAAAGCCTTGAAATCTCTGACTGAAAATACCTGTGGGTTGAGGTGGCAGAGGGAGAAGCTCCCAGCCTCACAGGAGAGTTCATTGAAGAGACCCACAGGGTCCTAGAACGTACGCAAGCCCACCCACATGGGAATCAGCACCAGATAGGGTCCAGTTTGCTTGTAGGTAGCGGGGGAAGTGACTGAAAATCCATCACAGAGAGGAGCGAGCGGCACTGTCCCCTCCCCCACAGACAGTGTCATAACTCAGCAACCCCACCCTGGTGAACACCTAAGGCTCCACCCCTCATACGTAACAGGTGAGCTGAGACCAAAAAAAAAAAAAAAATAGCCCAAATGAAAGAACAGATCAAAGCTCCAGAAAAAATACAACTAAGTGATGAAGAGATAGCCAACCTATCAGATGCACAGTTCAAAGCACTGGTAATCAAGATGCCCACAGAATTGGTTGAATATGGTCGCAAATTAGATGAAAAAATGAAGGCTATGCTAAGTGAAATAAAGGAAAATGTACAGGGAACCAACAGTGATGGAAGAAAACAACCAGACTCAAATCAACAGTGTGGACCAGAAGGAAGAAAGAAACATTCCACCAGAACAGAATGAAGAAACAAGAATTCAAAAAAATGAGGAGAGGCTTAGGAACCTCCAGGACAACTTTAAACATTCCAACATCCAAATCATAGGGGTGCCAGAAGGAGAAGAGGAAGAGTAAGAATTGAAAACTTATTTGAACAAATAATGAAGAAGAACTCCTCAATCTGGCAAAGGAAATAGACTTCCAGGAAGTCCCGGAAGCTCAGAGAGTCCCATAGAAGTTGGACCCAAAGAAGAACACACCAAGGCACATCATAATTACATTTCCTAAGATTAAAGATAAGGAGAGAATCTTAAAAGCAGCAAGAAAAAAGGAGATAGTTACCTACAAAGGAGTTCCTATTAGATTATCAGCTGATTCTCAAAAAAACAAAACTTACAGGCAAGAAGGGGCTGGAAAGAAGTATTCCAAGTCATGAAAGGCAAGATTACTCTATCCAGAAAACCTATCATTTAGAATGGAAGGGCAGATAAAGTGCTTCCCAGATAGGGTCAAGTTAAAGAAGTTCATCATCACCAAGCCCTTATTATATGAAATGTTAAAGGGCCTTATCTAAGAAATAGATCAGTAAATATGAACAGTAAAATGACAACAAACTCACAACTATCAACAACCGAACCTAAAAACAACCCCAAAAAACTAAGGAATAGACTAGAACAGGAATAGAATCACAGAAACGGAGATCGCATGGAGGGTTATCAGTGGGGAGAGAGAGGGGGGAGAATGAGGGGAAAGGTGTAGAGAATAAGTAGCATAAATGGTAGGTAGAAGATAGACAAGGGGAGGTTAAGAATAGTGTAGGAAATGTAGAAGCCAAAGAACTTATTTATATGACCCACTGACATGAACTAAAGGGGGGAATGCAGGTGGGAGGGGATGTGCAGGGTGGAGAGGAATAAAGGGGGGGATGAAACAATTGTAATAGCATTATCAATAAAATATATATAAAAATAAAATATTTTATTAGGTAAAAAAACAAAGTAGAAGCAGGGACAGCAGACAGGGTGTTGTTTTTTTAAAATTTTACATTGTCCCCTTCTATAGTGTTTGAATTTTATCATAAGCATGTATTATTATAATACAAAGCTTAATAACATTTTCAAAGTCCTTCAGCGATAAATTGTCTTTCTTTTTTTACTAACCTCCAAAGCTCTCTTATAGTCACCCAGGTGAAAAGCACAGTATCCAATCCACAGGTTGGTATCCTCTTCTTGTTCCCCAACATGACGTTTGAACTTGTGGTTAAAATTTCATTTAAAAAAATCATGAAAAAGTTTTAAAAGTAAGGCCTCCATTTCAAAAAATGCTACATTAAGTTGCTGACAAATGATTTAAAAATCACACACAAGTAATAGGAGCAAGTCAATACCCAGTTTAATCACACTGATATAGAACTCAGCACAACTCCCTCCTGATTGTCACGGAAATTTGTATTTTCAAATATTTAATATTTATTTTTTGTATTTACTGACACCTCACCCCAGATGGTATTTAAGCATTATCTTTATAATCATTCTGGGTGATACATAAAAACATAAGAATTATGTGAAATATTTTCTAGTCCCAAATACCTGAAGACAGAAAGATGAAGCAATCAATTGCAGGCCACACAGCCAATAAGTGTGGTGGCAGGGACTTACGGTTCGGCTCCACATCCCACGCTGTCACCCTCCACACTCCACTGCACTCAACGGCACACTTCGAACCTGCCCCACTAGCACACATACATACACGCCTATTTACTCATCAGGTATAACTGTTTGCTGAGGACAAGGCACTAAGTCACTCTCTGACCCTTGACCAGGCTTACTGGAACCTGTTGAAGAAGTCCAGAACACTAGCATCATATGTCAACTATGAACAAATATTGATGAATGCCTCAATTAACAGAAGAAAACTCCTGTTTGGAGGAAAAGACTGAACCCTGAAGGAGTCGTCTGAACTACTTTGGTAAGGTGAGAGTTTTTCCCTCTACAGAGTGATAAATAAAAAACATGGGTGAAAAGTTAAATAGGGAAACACATATTTACAGATCATTGCTATAGAACTTTGGGTGCCTTAGTTATAATGAGATGAAGGCATTCTTTCAGACTTTCTTGTCTGGGCTAAGAACTTACACCTGTAGCTAAACTAGAAATCCTCCTCTCACCAAATGTTGTGAATTTAAGTTCCATGTCTTAGGTCTGAAGAAATTCTTATTTGAGGTCTCCCTGCATATGTGCCAGCAAATAAGGAGAGTTCAGGACACTTTCTCACCTCTGCTGTGGAAGTTCCCATTCCCATACATCCTGGCACTTCTACTTAAAGGCAGTGTGGGATTGTTACATGGTAAAGAAAATGTGGCACGTGCCTTCAAGAGAAGAAAGAAGAGAAACAGAGACTGACAAAAATTAGACATATACCCACCACTCAGCCCACTAATTTACAGAGCTAGATGGTTCCTCTACGTCAGCTCCCCCACTTTGAAGATGAGAGGGCTGATACAAAAAAGTTAAACAATGTGCTCAACACCAGATCACTAGGGAGCAATGCAGGACTGTACACGGAAGACTGAGAAAGACATATAAAGCTAATTAAAACAATGGCTGCTGATACACTATGAGCAATAAGTGTGGGGTCATGCTGTGGAGGAATGACCACGGGGCAGTGCAACCAGGCTTGCTGTCAGTCATCATCTCTACAGTCCTCGGTGCTGCCTTCATCCTTCTACAGCATGTGCTTCCTACACAGCAGTGTCTCTGAGTGCTCTGTCCTTGGACCATCTACATCAGAAGCACGCGGGATACTTGCCTAAATGTAGGTTCCCGATTCTGTGAAGCATTAGAATCCCTAAGACAGGAGCCCAGGAATACATTTTAATAAGCACCCTCGGTGATTCTGATGCATACTAAATTTGAGAACTACAACAGTAGAGACTGAAATGTTTTCTGAAGATTTAGTATTTTAGACAATAAGCGTGAAGCATAGATTTAAATTTAATAAAAAAATCTTAACATATAATAGATATAAATCATAAAATGGCCAGGGGTTGGGATAAACAATGTGTGAACTCACACTGTATTTATTGAATGGCCCTGCATATTTTCTAGGCTGGATTTGCCATCAGTGGGACTAGGCACAATTAAAAGTGTCCCTCAAAAATATATATTTAGTCCTGATCCATGTGACTCAGTTGGCTGGGCGTTGTCCTGCCAAGTGAAAGGTCACTGGTTTGATCTCTGGTCAGGGAACTTGCCTGGGTTTCGAGTTCGGTCCCGAGTCGGGGCCTGTACAAGAGGCAAAGGATCGATGTTTCTCTCACATTGGTATTTCTCTCCCTCTTTCTACTTCCCTTCCCCCCTCTCTAAAAATAAATAAATAAAACCTTTTTAAAAAAGGAAGGAAGAAATATGTCTCTTGGCTGGTGTAGCTCAGTGGATTGAGCCCGGGCCTGCAAACCAAAGGGTCGCTGGTTTGATTCCAGTTAAGAACACATGCCTGGGTTTCAGGCCAGGTCCCCAGTAGGGGGCGTGCGAGAGGCAGCCACACATTCATGTTTCTTTCCCGCTCTTTTTCCTCCCTTCCCCTCTCTCTAAAAAATAAATAAATAAACAAAATCTTTAAAAAAAGAAGTATGTCTATCTTATTAGTTCATCTCGAATCAGATTTATAGCTACCTTGGCTACCGGACTCTGTGCCTGACTAGATTGACAGGAAGCCACAGAATGCACCCACTGACTCCCGCAGCCCTGCGACCAGCATTCACCCAAGCACTCATCCATACTTCTCCTATTCACCTCCTAAGGAGCAACCTTCTGTGGACATTACCTCCAACAGGGTAATAGCTCCAGTGAAGTCTCTTTGTGAAAGTAGCTCCTCTAGCTTTGGCATCTTCCTGCCTTTCTTCTTTCTTTTGTCAGTGTGCGGTAGGTCCCCGCCTACAGCAGGTTTGGCTCTCGATAGCATCTGTGGAAGAAACAACAAAGACAGCTGTACGATCCAGTTATGGTGGTCAGTTTTAAGCAGAATGACAGTTCCCCCAGGGAAGCCTATGAAACTCTTCGTAACAAACATTATTACTAAAAGAGCTGAACCAAATAGCTACTCCCAACTTCTTGATCTTCTCCGATGAGAGTGAGGTAAGAGATGCTTTCGGCAGCTTCGGTCATCTTAGCCTTCCTCCTCCCCTTGGTCTGCTTTCCACCCCAGGCGCAGCTCGGGTGTGGGGAAATACAGAAACAGGAGGGAAGAAATCACGGAGGCATTTACAGTTGCATCTCCGTCCCCCATGTTCCCACGGGGAGGGCAGGGAGCTCATCCTCCATTGACTATCCTAGACTTTACCCTGCAGAGTGCTGGGGGCCTCTAACCTCCGGTCCCGAGACATACTCATAGTTCTCCCTCACTGTTCGGAACCACTGACCATATTGGCTGCTGTCCTGTGAGTCCCCTCCGCAGATAGACAGCAAAGGCCAGGCCTCGGAGGTTCTCCTCAACCACAGCTCTCTCTGTTTCCACGGCAACCTCCAGGGAGTCGGGGGAGGGGCTGAGGGGGCTGGTCCGTTCTGATAAGCGCTCGCTGGAAAACCAGTGCTTTGGCGTCTCGGTTCCGCAGCTCTTTCGCCGCTGCAGGATTGGAAGTTCCAGGAGGAGAGCGTCGTTTTCTTTTTCTTTCTTTCTTTTTCTTTTTCATTGAATTGATTGAGGTGACACTGGTTAACAGGTTTCAGGTGCACAAGTCCACAAACACATCATCTGTACACTGTATTGTGTGTTCACCACCCCAAGTCAAGTCTTCATCATTTATCACCCCTACGCCCCTCTCCACAACGCCCCCACCATCGATCAGAACCAGCGTTCATCACAGTTTTCCGTGCTCATGAGTTTTTTCTCTCATTTTTTTTCCGCTCAACCTCCCACTCCCCTAGTCCCCCAACACTCGACCCCAACAGCTGTCAGCCTGCCCTTTATCTATGAGCCTGTCTCTATTTTGCTTGCTAGTTTATTTTGTTCATTAGGGAGCGGTGTTTTCTGTGCTGAGAACGAGAGTTGGACTGTATCTCCATTTACGAGTTTAGGAAAAGGCAAATTAGAATGGTATTGTTTTTCAAATGCACGTTTCCTGGGAAAGTGATTTTCAAGGACCATTTCCGATTTCGACCGCGTTGGACTCCATAGCAATCCCCCGCCCAGCCCCAGGTGTTGCCCGGCAAGTCCTCTGGATCTTGGGCCGCTGCCGGATGATTAGAAAAAAAATTTCTGCTGAACCTAAAAAACTGACGTTTTGAGGCAGAAGTTCATCAAAATATGCTTTCTTATTTCCATAGACACACTCTAATATAATAAGGCCCTGTAATAAATGTGTTGTTTGGACGACTTACCTTAACTCCTGAACCCAGTTAATAGGGCTGCAAGTGGTAGTCTACAATCACCGACTTGCGTGATGTTAGAGCTGGAAGGGACCTTCAATGGACATCTAGTTTGACCCTCAGGATTAACAGACTAAGGAGCTAACATCTGTAGAAGTGAAACAATTCTCCCAAATGCACAGGTAATTGTGGCATAGTTGAATTATGTTACATACCGCTCTGAGTAATTAGCCTTATACCCTAAGCTCCTAGAAGGTTGGTATGATTTCTTAGATTTTTTTTGCAACCTCCTTGCACTCCAGTCCCTGCCTACTCACACCACCACCCCCCCTGCCCTGCAATCACTTGGAGAATAAATAACTACTTTTCTTAATTCATTGATACACCCTTACGTGTATACATAATCATCGATATACAGACGCATACAGACAGGCAAGGCATAAGACTTCAGAGATGTACAAATTCACCAGCACCATACTCCTCCCTCCTCTCCGTCCCCGCCCCGCGCCCCCCCCCAAATCTCTGGCAACCATGAATCTATTTTCTGTCTCTATGGATTTACCTATTCTGGGCATTCCATATAAATGAAATAATACAAAGAGACATCTACACCCATATGTCTAAATATTGAAAATCTTTTAGTCTACCAAACTGTTAAGTGTGTTATCCTCCTGCTTTATCATGAAGGTCAGGCTCTGATTTAGAATTCTCAGACTTCTCAGAATTCTGTGCTGCTGGTGACGAGGCAGGGAGAGCCAAACCCAGCCCTCAGCCCAGGCCCGTCTCTTCTCAGCCCAGGCTCCATCCTGCACTATGGGGGGCTTTGTGAATGTTGTGTGGGTACCCAGGCCACAAATGCAAGTTGCAGTCACCCAGTCACCTGTGAGCTGTCACCTTCTGGAAAGGAGGTGAGACTTAAGGATGAGACCCACTCAAGGGTGGAAACAGGCAGGAAATTCAGAGTCTTTAGCGCCATAGCATGGTGAGGAGGGTTGCAAGACCCTGGCAATAAAAAAAAATAGAGATATTCTAAATTAAAAGTACAGCAGCCAGAGTGTGAGAAAAGGAAACAAAACAGCCCGTTAATAGTTATAGGCCAGCTCTGACAAGACTACTCACATTCCTGTATGTCTTTTGGAATTTAAGATTAATTTCCAGGTGGCTATTTCTCTGGTTATTCCAAAGAGACAATAACCAGGTGCCATTGACCCCTAGGAGACTCCACTTATTTGCACATGAACTTTCCAATCTGCTGTCCACAGCTAATTCACAGAAGCAGACACTTCATCTTTGTAATTAGCAGCCCTGCTTCACCTTCTCTCATCCCCTTTGCCTATAGCTAATGTAAATCCTTTTAGACCAGCTTACATCTTACTGTCCCCTGTCCCCCCACACACACTTGATTTATAAAAACGCTTGCAAAACTCCAGGACAATGGACATATTTTCATTCTTACCTAACCACACTGTTGGTAGTTTAGACTCCATGGCCCAAGACTAGTCTCTCCCTCCCTCCCTCTCTCTCTCTCTCTCTTTTATTTTATTTATTTATTTATTTTGCTAGCAATTGCGTAATAAATCCTTTCTCTTAAAAGACTTTCAGGCGTGGAAGTTAGTTATTTGTTTTTTATTTAACAACCCCTTGGCTCCACAGCTTCTTCGCCCCTGGTGTACGGTGTGGTCAGTGCCCAGGGCCCAGAACAGAATCCCCTCACACCAGGGTCTCAAGGAAGTATTGCTGATAATGCTGTAAACAACCCTGTTGAACTTGCTAAATCTATTGAAATGACATCTGATTTTCAGCAGTTTGAGATACAGATTTAAGCTTCTAGATCCCTGTAGAGGCTGTTTGAACTGCGGCTGTAATTACCAAGGGCAGAATACGGCATTCATGGAGTGCACTTGAGAAAAAGCAGTTACTCGCGACTACAGCCCTAAGCCTCACCAGGTGTTATGAAACACACAGTAACACACACACATCAGCAAAGTAAGAGGCATGGTTGAAGCTAGCCACTTTATTGCCGTTGCAATAGAAGAGCGGTTTGAGTGACTGTGAAAAATAATCCAGGTTGTGATGATGGGTCCTTGGACTCATGTCCCTATTATTCATCAGGGCCAGGAGTTGCTGAAGGAATGTGAAAGACACTAAGAAGTTTTGGCATTTCTTGTTAGGGTGGATTCTCCTTAAGTAAAATGTCTCATGAAAGGAAGGAGCCTCAGCATTTCCATGACAGAACCACAGTAACTTTGTTTATCAGCTCTATCGAGTGCTGTTAGTGAGGCCTATGTTAGCATGGGCCTGAGAAACAAAGGGTCGCTGGTTCATTTCCCAGTCAGGGCACATGCCTGGGTTGTGGGCCAGGTCCCTGCTGAGGGGCATGTGAGAGGCAACCACACATTGATGTTTCTCTTTCTCCAAAAATAAATAAATAAAATCTTTAAAAACAAGAATATTTTAAAAACCAAATTTTATTCCACTGCCTCCCTGTGAGTTATATGACCTCATAGGGAGAGGACCCCATTTTTGACAGTTCTAAGAAAGAGCAGGAATGACTTCAGGATTAAACATTTGAAAATATAGTCCTTCAAGAAATACGTTTTTCCATCATTTCAAAATGACTTATTCTTAAATTAAGAAAGTACTACATAGTCACCATGAGAATTTTGGAAGATACTGATAATTAAAATGAATAAGATGTAAATTATCTATAAGTATATGAACAGGAAACAACACCTATTAACATTTTGCTTTTTGTTTTTTTATTTTATTTTAATATTTTATTTTTATTTATTTTTTAGAGAGGGAAGGGAGGGAGAAAGAGAGAGAGAGAGAAAGAAACATCAATGTGCGGTTGCTGGGGGTCATGGCCTGCAACCCAGTCATGTGCCCTGACTGGGAATCGAACCTGCGATGCTTTGGTTCGCAGCCCGCGCTCAATCCACTGAGCTATGCCAGCCAGGGCTGTTTTTTTATTTTTTAATATTTTATTTATTTATTTATTTTTAGAGAGAGGGGAAGGGAGGGGTAAAGAGAAATATCAATGTGTGGTTGCCTCTCACATGCCCCCCACTTAGGACCTGGCCTGCAACTCAGGCATGTGCCCCGACTGGAAATCAAGCCAGTGATCCTTTGGTTCGCAGGCCAGTGCTCAGTCTACTGAGCCACACCAGCCAGGGCAACATTTTGCTTTTTAAAAAGTGACTGAACCTGTGCTAAAAGATAATATAGTCATGGCTGAACTAAGAGACCTAGCTAAGAGATCTGTAGATTATAATTGTTGAAGCTAGGCAGTGAGCACCTATGTATTTGACTGTTTTACTTTTGTATCAAAATTTTTTGTAATCCCAGATAAAAATGAGGCATCTATTTAAAAACCCCTTGAGTTTGCCCTGGCTAGTGTGGCTCAGTTGGTTGGGCATTGTCGCACAAACCGAAAGGTCTCCCGTTCCTTTCCTGGTGAAGGCATGTGCCAAGGTTGCAGGTTTGGTCTCCATCTCTCATGAGAGAGAGGCAACCAATTGATGTTTTTCTCCCTCCCCTCCCATTTCTCTAAAAAAACAAACAAAAACCCCACCAAAACAGAAAACCTCCCAAGTTCTTCTTTATGGTCAAACTTTTCACTGAAATGAGCCAAAGATATGGGGGTGAATATTTATTTAAATATAAAAACTAACTTTCATACATACCAGTTAAAATTAAGTGGATTTGTCAATGTGAAGATCCTGAGAAAAAGAATTTGCAACTTCTGGTTGCTTATGTAATTATTTCTTTGGTGGAAAGATCATTGGAAAATCAGAAAGCAACATAACCATGACAGAATGTACACAGGAAAAATACTAAGCATTGCAATCTATGAGCTCCAGGAGGAGGAACTCCCTGTATCAGCCAGCTGCTGAGATGTAGGATCCTGGGGAGGCCTGGTTCAGCCCCTCACCTGACCTCTAGCAAGAGCTGAAGGTGACTGTAGGGTTGAGTGCTTTAGAGTCAGTAAGACCCGGATTAGAACCCTGCCCCCGCACTCCCCCTCAGACTTCCCCCATCCCGCCGTGCTTCCTACCTCTGTGACCTTGAGCAGGTTACCTAACCCCTCTGAGTTTTTGTTTTCCGAGGTAAGAAAACCCGTCTAACTGATACGCTTATGACTCATCTGAGATCACTGATCAGCAAGAG